AGTGCTGGTCTCTGTTGATGAACAGTGCTGGTCTCTGTTGATGAACAGTGCTGGTCTCTGTTAATGAACAGTGCTGGTCTCTGTTAATGAACAGTGCTGGTCTCTGTTGATGAACAGTGCTGGTCTCTGTTGATGAACAGTGCTGGTCTCTTAATGAACAGTGCTGGTCTCTGTTAATGAACAGTGCTGGTCTCTTACTGAACAGTGCTGGTCTCTGTTAATGATCAGTGCTGGTCTCTGGTAAAAAAATAAGGTTAGTCTCTGGGAAAAAACTGGGCTAGTCTCTGGGAAAAAACTGGGCTCTCTGGGAAAAAGACTGGGCTAGTCTCAGGTAAAAAAAGGGGCTAGTCTCGGGTAAAAATCATGACTAGTCTGTTAATTTACAGAACTGCTTCCTGTTGATGTATATATAGACTTATTGACTCTCTTAATAAGTATAGTTTTGATAAACAAGTCTGGTCTATGTCAATGAGGTTTTCATTTGCAAGTTTTTGAACCAAATAATGATTAATTATTTATGTGGTTCTTACTCTTCTCATATCATTGTTCTTTGCAACTCTTAAATTTAACTTAACAAATATTATCTTTCTCTTTCAGGTCAAGCAAAAAGTAAATCAAGGTCATTCATCTTCTGAAAAGCAAACTGACTGTTTGCTTGAGCTACGTACTCTCTATTGAAAGCGGCCGGCACTGCCCATGATAGAGAGGCTGGATTAAGAAGAATAGCTGGAGTTATATTCCCGCTATGGATTTTTCTGTAAATATGATGGACAATGGACGGGGCAGTCTCTCTGGACAAGTTGTTACCAGCATGGGCATTGCTTATGCACCTCACATCACATCAGCTCAGTTGCAGCAACAGTCTTTATCTAACGGCACACTTTCTGCACATCAAATTGTCTCTGCATCTCATCAGCATTTGCAGCAGCAAGTTGCTGTTACTGCTGCTCAGGCTCAGCGCTTAACGCTACAGCAACAGCAGCAAGTGGCTGCTCAGCAACAGGCAGCAGCACAACAGCAAGCTGCTGCTGCTGTAGCTGCGGCTCAAGCTCAGCAACAACAGCAGCAGCAGCACCATCACCATCATCATCATCACACCGCTGATAACTCTTCGCTTAGCCATGCTGCAGAAATAAAAGTTCAGGAGTTGAGTAAAGAAGAACCTCAAAGTGGGGCATTCACACCGCCTCCACGTGTGGACTCTGTAGGATCTTGCACCCCTCATGCCGACGTGCAACTGGAAAAAGGGACCGACACAACTGATATGGAGGCTATAATCAAAGTTGAGATAAGAGGTTACTTGCCTGGCATTACTCCAGGCATCTCTGAGAAGGACAAAAACAGTATTATTCAACTGCACTTTACATCCGTACCTGAACTATTGCAATACTTTTCACGGGGTGCCATCACCCAACAAATAGATGCATTAAATTTTCTCAATCCTGAAATAGTACGAAATCTTAATCCTGATCTAGTCAGGAATCATTTTTTGTATGTACCGAGCAGTCAAGAATCAGTTCGTGTTTCTTCAAATGGCTTCAGCTCATCGTCAAGTTCACCCAATGGCACCCAAACTCTGGGCAACTCATCTGCCACTAGCATGTCATCAGCTGCTGCTTCAGCGACTGTTGCTGCCAACACAATACAATTGCCCATCGGCGGAGGCAAGATCATGGTCAAGCATGAGCGTAAACGAGGTGAACTACCTCCAGGTACCATCATCCACAAAACTCCAGTTGATGCCAATGCTGGAAACGTTTTTGTTTGCTGGATATGTGGGTTAGATCTGCAAAAAAGTTTACAATTCGAGGAACACATGGTGGATCAGCACAGCGTTGACAAGCCCTATCGTTGCGAAGATTGTGGGGTAACTTTCAAAAGAAAAGCGCATCTCGATCGGCATCGTCGTATACATTTACCCACTCGGCCGTACCAGTGCGGAGTTTGCGGCAAAGGTTTCACACGTAATGAGCACGTGCGAAGGCATGCCTTCACGCATACTGGTGAGAAGACTCCTTTCTTTTGTCCTATATGCTGTAAGAAATTTACGAAAATACATTTGTTTGATAAGCATATGGAGGAGCAGCACCCATTGGCACCCCCTAGTGAGTGTTCTATTTATGTAAATAACAAGGAGAACAACTTGAATCAGGGTGAGTACAGCGATCTAATTGATCACAATCAAACGGCCAAGACGAATAGTTGTTATCTTTCGTCAGAAGTGGTCCCGAATCGTTCACATCTCACTCAGAATGATTTCCCGAGCAATGTTGTTGATGCTTCTCTCACATCTATCGATATTCGGTCATCTAATAATGTGCCCTTTCATAATACGCTTAATGCAGGTCATTATTCTTATGGTAGCAAAACTCTGGATTTTCGTGTTGTTTCAAGCCTAGGTGATGTAAATGAAACTGAAATGCATTATTCAACTCAAGTCTGTGAGTCCACTGCTAACTATGTTGAAGAAGCACACCCAGCTGCAAACCCATGTACTGATCTCAACAATCCTCGAAAACGTCAAAAACTTTCAAGCGCGCTGAGTATTGTCAATAACGCTTCAAAGCATACCACTCCTCTGCCGAGTAACGTAAGTAGTAAAACAGAAGAAGCTTACCTTATAGCGCGCAGTATTAGCAACGAAGCTCACCCAATTGCTCCATCGCGTAGCGTTGGTATTGATGCAGGAAGAAACCACGCGTTTCCCGTTTCGCGACTTATTGGCAGTGTTGCAGAAGAAGGTTTGGGTCCCGCTGCCCGCTGTCTTGATAGTAATGAGGGCCGTAAAGTAGCTTCTCTGTCCTTGAAGGCTGCTAAAACAGATCATAACTTACATTCAACATCAGTCACTGGTGACATTTCCAACGCTAAGCCAGGTTATGAATTGACGGACGAATCGCATGGTGTTTTTTCACACCATCAAAATCCAAAGCGTTATGTTGGTATCTCGATCAATGATCCTATTCAGGAGCATCGCGTGGCTCCTAACGAAACTACTTACAAGTCTTCACAAGGAAAAGTCAGTAGATCTGGTATTGCCTCTGACGATTACCAGGAAATTGAACAACGTTCTACTGCTCTTGCAATTAGTGGTAGCGCAAATGCCCCTAAAAACCGTTCGCGAAGAACAAATTCTCATAAAACCACTGTGAGCTCCGCTAAAGTTGTGAAAGAATCGCATGACTTATCATTCAATGTGTCGGGTTTTAGTAATGAAATCACTCCCACTTCCCACAATTTTTTACAGCGCCGAGCAAGCGACAAGCGGAAAATCAGTTGCAGTATCAACCCTAGTCGCGAAGCAAATGAAGATTCCGAAGCCTCTAAAGCTGCAGGGCTCAGTAATGCTCGCAATAAAACTTGTACAGATGATACTAAAACGGAAGTAGAGCCTTCTGTCGAGAGGGTTTTTTTCACGCAATCTCATATGCTAACGATCCCTCCGGGAATGACGGAGGAGGAGTTAAATGCGCAAATTACCCGCTTGTACGGTATAACAAGTGTAGAACACGCGAACTCCTCTCTCGGTAATGACGCTTCTTCTGTACTTGCGTCCGATAGTCAGTTTATAGGCATAGATTTGCCATATGATCAAAAAGAATCGTCAGAATGTGGAGAGGATGCTTTTAACGACCGTGAGAGAACTCAACTCGTTAGTAAGAACAACTCTTGCAACTCGGAACTAGCTACCGTTTCTTCTGCTGAAAATTCATGTAATTCTGAAATTAGAGATGCAAATGTGCCTACCACTCTAATGCTAACGTTGAGTACAAATACGGCGGTTCCATCAACTTCCGTTGACCCTGAGAATACATCTGAGAATGAACCCCAAATGCAGGACGTGGATGAGAAGCATCCCGCTCTCCATGTTTACTCTATGAATGGCGATCTTCTTTGTACCGTTCCTCCTCAGTCTCCCAATGATGAGGCAAACTTTTTTGATGCTGCTCATGATGTGTTGATGGTGGAGCAACACCGGCATCAAAACTACATGCCTGCTGGGGATGGAGATGACGAAAAGGAAAGTTCAAACCTGCAACTGAGCCGTGGGGAAAAGTCGCGTCTAGACGACACAATGAGGCTCAAAGACGAGTCCAATAAGGAAGGTAATGTGACCGCATTTGCTCTTCGGCCGCTCTGTAGTTTTGATGGGCGTGATTTGTGGGATATATATTAGATTTCGTACCTCGATTTCTAGATCTATAGTAAATGATTAATTTTAAAACGATTCATGTCTTTAACAATCGTACATATATACTGTCAACTTCTAAGTCTATCCCGTAGCTTGATTGTAGTATTATTATAACTTGCGCGATTGCTTGCGGTCTGACTATAGGTATTGGTCGTGCGTTGAACGAAATGAATTTTTCTAAAATTTTATACCGACAATCTCGCTTCAAGTTGCATAACTCTTGTAATATGATCTGTCTCTCACTATACCCTATGGCTTCGAAGATATCGTTACTGTTCATAGGCGGGTGTATTCTTTACGCCGCACAGAAGTCGTCGATGACTTGGGATGCGCCTCAATTGGAATTTCAACTTTTATAGGATAAACATCTTGAACGACTTAATAAAGAAATTTTGAAAATTTTAACGTTGGTAGCAATCGTCACGAACTGATTCTTCTGAGTTGCGTCGTGTTAGTCTCGATCCACGATTTTTGGAATCACCGAGTATTTTTCGCTACTGCTCAAGGTGTGTATGACTTGTTGCACTTTTAGAATGGGTCAATAGATTAGTGCCCGGCGACTTGTAGCCGTCAGGTAAGTTTCATTATCTTTGTGATTTTCGCGGTCCCAGCTATAACTGTTTTAACTGGGATATCTACAGTGGAAGATCCACAGCCAAGATCTGATGCATTGGAATGACATCACATAGTCAGAACAGATTTTTACTTATAGTTTCATCGCATTGTTTGTATTCATTTCATAATGTATATTAGAGTTAATGGTAGTTGAATAACCAAATTAAAAAAAAATATCCAGTAAAACGTAGTATACCGTAATTGATTATTAGTTTGTTTGAATTCATTTGTAGTTGTAGTGTTTGTTTTAAATCTGCTGTAGCAAACCGGTGCTCTTGCCAGCATGTGGGTAAAGGACGCATTCTTATGTGGAAAGTAACTCCGATGTCTAGTGTAGTTCCTTATAATGTTCTAATTTGTTACTTATTCTTTTATCAAGTTGTTTTCGTGTGAAGAAAATTCGTTAACAATCTGGATTTTGAGATAACAGAACTGCTCCTCATGTGTTTGTATTGACTGATGAAACTTTTGTTTTACTGTTGACGTATGTTTATTTGGCTGTAGTGATGCATGAAATTTGCTGCGTCTTTTCCGTTTCTAATTGATGCTTTAATTTTTTCGTTGAAATTTTGTATCCTTTTTTTTGGGCTGTAAAATTCTTTTTTGTTGCCTTTGGTAATGTTTTGTTGTGCTCGGTTATGATATGTTCATTTTAATATCTTCACCTGTTATTTATATTTTTTCAGTTTAACTTTAACATATAACAGGAATTTAACTGCAGTACGTGAGACATATTTTTTATGTCAGTTATGTGAAATTTTTGGAGAGCTTACCTGAATCGACGTTTATTTATAAAGATGATTGTTTTGATTCTTCAATCCTACACTTAGTGTTTTCCATAGACGGAGATCTCTTACATGTTTACTCTCCCACACAGACGGACTGGGAACCCTCCTGCTACAGACAAGTGGAGGGAACAGTCGCGTTGTTACCATCAACCAGACGGTTGGTGGAGCAGGCTCGCCTGTCTCCATAATCCAGAATGGCGGAGGACACAACGGCGGCGCTCTGTCGGGCGTTCTTGTGAACGGCACGTCGGCTGTTGCGGTGCAAGTGACAGGAGGTGTGGCGACACAGTCCGGTGGCACAGTACTCCACACTCCACCCACCATCGTCAGTATCGCCACACCCTCTCCACAACAACAACTACAGCACGTCCAGCAGCAACAACATCATAACGGGTCATCAAGCAACGGTTCCTCGAGTACGTCGTCCGGTCGTCGCGGCGAGTCCCGTTCGCATAATGGCGAGCCCGTAGCACGTCCATACCAGTGCGGCGTTTGCGGTAAAGCTTTTATTCGGAATGAGCATTTGAGGCGACACGTGCTCACGCACTCGGGGGAGAAGCCGTACTCGTGCACGCAGTGTAGCAAGTCTTTCTCACGGCGGGAACATCTTACCAAGCATGTGCGGGCTCATAACAAACAAAACGGAGTGGCTATTTCTTCTGACGTGCAGCAACAGAATACCGTAACAAACATTCAACAACAACAACAGCAGCTGGGAAGTAACACCCCTTCGTCTAGCAGCACCCCTACGCCTCTTCACCTGGGCAACACCTCAATCCAGGTGGTCGGGACAGGAGTTGCGGTGGAGGGATTAACACACGGAGGGGCGGTCGTAGCGCAGACGAGTATGGCGCAAGGTGGTGGCGGTTTATCCTCAGTAGTGGCGAGCGGAGGCAACGGATCTCACGGGACGGTCGTAGCAACGCACACCCTGCACGGCACGCCGGTGTCACACACGCATCTCAGTGGAACTCCCGCCTACATCCCCATGTACTCATTGCTCACCGAGGTCGTGCAGTAGCTTGCTGAATGTGGCACAGCTTATGGACTTCCTTTGCCACGCGGTATTTTCAGTTATGTGTTTTATTAGTATAGTTCTTCTCCTACTTCATGTATGTGATTCTTGCTTTCCAAAAAGAGAGCTAATGTCCTTCTTATTTAGATGCAGTTTGTCTCGTCTTGTTTATTGACAATTTTCTTCCGCCGTTAGCATTTCTCGTGATGTCGTCTGCTGGTAAACATTTAAATTTTTGGTTCGTCAAAATATTGTTTACTTTCGTTCGGGATCGATAATGCTTTTTGTTTAACCTTGCATGGCATATCTTATTGTTGAAAATTCTCACAATTCCAACTATTCGTGAATTGCTTGCCAGAAACATGGTGCCATATAGGGTTAACGGTTGTTACATTTAAAAGCCCCTTCACTGAATTCTGAGTAACTTTTGACATCCTGTGTTTGGAAATAGACTTTTTAATATTATGTGACGCTTAATTAAGTCTGAATATTGTGTTTTAATTGATCTTTAATTGGTGATTTATTTACAGAAATATTTAATTTCCTCTTCACATTTTGTACTTTATTCAAATTATAGACCGCGCGTCACTTGAAAATTTTGTGGTATTCCTTGAATGGCGATTATTAGTGACAGAAGTTTTTTTGCGCCTTAGTTCGTGTTACCTTTATATATTGCTTATTCTTCTCACCGAATTATATACCTCCTTAGAAGAGACTAGCGAGAATTTTGTCGATTGCTATCGTGACTTGATGGTCACGATTTGTTTTAAACAAAGTCCACCAAACTGTGAATTGAGAACGTGAGCAGAACCGAGCTTAAAAGATATTCGAATGTATGGCATTGAATTTGTATTGTTTAATGTAATTTGTTGTGTTTTTAATACATTCGTTGTTATAAATTCCGGGCGTTGCTGGACTGCGCCACGTGTTTCAACAATTTTTTGTCTTCTGTCGAACATATTAGCTTTCATGATGGATTTCACGTAGTCAAGTCTCATTGTGCTGATAATGATATCTCTCTTCCTATGAATTTAGCTCGTGTTCCTTTTTTGTGCTAGGAGTGTATACTACCTACTTCAATTAATATGGTCAAACTGGAAATGATCGCTCGTGTGATGCTTTGGATCAAGCTTTACCCTTGATATTATATTCCTTAATTTTCGTCCGGACCTTCATTCCTCGTGTTACGCAACTAGTCATTAATTACTTTAATTCTAGATTTGTCCACGATTTTTCGATTTGTGCTTATGCGGTCAGCCGATGTGAGTTGACTGAGCTTTCAGTTGTTCATTGAACGAATTTTGTTCCTAATTTTTCACAACCCATATGAAGATTTTGCCAAAATGCTTTCTATTTTAAAGCGTGCAAAATTGTCTCATTTTATTGTACTAGGTAGTTTTTTGAGGCAAAGAACGTACTACCCTTCAGTTGAATTTTTGGTTGTACTTAAAATGAAGGTAATTATGTATTTGAAATTATGTTCGTTCATTTGGAAGTAAAAATTTCCAGATTGATTTAGTTCCCGATAGCGGTTTTCATTGTTTACGTTGGAGATCTTGGGATGTATAACGAAGGTTGGATGAAGTGGATGAAGAGTACAAGCTTGCGGTTGTTTGCTTTGCAGGTGGTCATGTAGAGACCGTTCGCTGGTCGCACTTATACGTAGGCTGCTACGTAAGCAGAAAACAATCTGTCGTACAATTAGCTGTAATTTCATTTTAATGTAAATACTAGCCTAAGTAGACATTGTCTTCTCATTGAATGTTCTAAGTAGCAGGAAGTGAAGGCCTGTGTTCTTTCTTTATGTTAAATCAAATGGAGCCCGTTTTCCCATCGTTGATCTTGCAGGTGACACAAGATAATATAACTGTCGAGGTGGCTTCTCCGGCATTAAATTTCAGGTTTTCCATATCATTAACGCCTCGTCCTGTGCTGCTCTCTTTCATTCCCCTTTCTTTATCATCGTTTGTATATATGAGCAGGTTTTTGTATATTGTTGAAAATATTTTTATTAATATTTCTTTGTAAAAAATAGCACTCGTGTCCTGAGGAGAAGTCCATCGTGACACTAAAACATTATATACGGATTGGCGGCTGTTTGTATGTATGGAAACTTTCTCACCAGTATAATTTTATGCAGGCGTTATGGTAGGGAACTGGAGACGAATTTTACCTCGTGTAAATATTGTATTTGGTTGGAGCGCTGCAGTACGAACTGCAGGCTCCCTCGTGCGAAGAAAGTCTGTTCTCGATTTGTATTTTCTCGCCCACAAACGTCGTTGGACTTCGAATTTGCTTTTTATCGCAAGAATAAATCGATTTCAATTGGTACGAAAATAAACTGCAACATGCGAGACTTTGAACAAGGGGGAAAAGCATACCGTAGATTATGTGATGAAGTGTTCAATCGATTAAATTTTCGATAATTACAGCGACTTACAATACGCATTATTTCGTTCATTAAGTTATGTCTCAACTTCAGTGCAGCCGCAGTTAAACGTATTAAGACGCTTCTAGGCAAAACGCGCTCTGCAAAGATCTTCATGTTCGCCTGATATACATGTCAAAATTGAAACTATAGGTTCACAAATTAATATTTTAAGATTTTTTTTTTCGTATTTGGTATTTTATGCGCGAAATATGAACTTGTTCCATTTATGGCTCGTTTAGTAATGTGCTGTTGGGAGGTTCCCAGTTCGTGGCGGTTCCTTAGTCGGAAACTGCGTTCGTACCAAAGTTATGAAGTGTTAGGCTTCGTGTCGATATTGTTATCATTGCTGTGTATAGATCCCGTCAAATTCGGCTATCGTCCAAAGTTTGTGTTGTATTTTACAAAGATAATATTATGAATAGATGAAATTCTTGAAGTTGTTTCTTTAGTCTCCTACATACTAGTCGGTGCTACTCGGAGATGGATGAAAGTGCCGCGTGAATAGTACGGTCAAGTACCCTCATAGTTAAAACCATATCGAGTTGCATTCGTGTGGCACTGACTAGTCCTCCATTGCATCATTCCGGTCTACATGTAAAGTTTAAAAATCTGAGACATGTGCTGTCATGTAGGAGTGGGTTCTCTGTGATCAATCTCACCTATTGCCGATTACATTCGGTATTCTTTTGGAAGTGACTCAGGCAAGCAGGCCTTACGTGGCCAGGATAGTAAATATATTTCGTGCAGCTGGAAACAAAATTATAATTTCAGAGCAGGGACCTAAGTCCGTGCCTTACGTCGATTATTCCCATCCGTGCACGTCACCGCTGTGTGACCCCGAGAACTCTCAAATGGGTGCATTTTTAAAAAGTACCGTAAATGCTTATCTTCTGTACGAATAATCATCAAAAATTTGAACAGAAGAACCATAACTGATGATTTATTGAAAACTAGAACGACAGTGAGTGCCGTCTAGAATTTTAATTATTTCGATGAAACAAACGTTCCGTTGTCGTAAAACTGATGTCTTAAAAATGCTTCTCTCAGAAGATATGTTGAAGTGTTTGCATAATATGAATAGTTTAATTCGTTTTCCAAATCTTTATTTTATTCATGCAGCTTCTAGTCCTAGATTTTCACGTTAGTTAGACATTTCTAGAGAGACCAGATGTGCAGCGACCGCTAATGGGTGAGTAATTAGTCTCGGGCATTACTGCCACCACTTCCGAGTTGTCCAGCTCCAGGCCGTCTCGGATTTGATCACTTCTGGTTGAGTGGGTCCTTGACTCATTGCATCAACATCAATGGGACTACGATAGGATTCAACTAATGTACGCATTTAAGTGGGTTTTTAAACATTCCCCGTGTGTTTTTAAAGCAGGGTTAGTTGAAGTGTTGACTCGTCAGTTCAAATGTATGATAAATTAGCCGTATTCATTATTTCCCCCACTCAAATTTCAATGACGCACTCTCAACATGAATAAAGTATTCTCAGCACGGACTTGCGGCAGCCTAAATTGATCACGAGGGACATTGTGATTGCCTAACCTGAATAATTTTTTTAATGTTTAGTATCCTGAATATTTTCTGTCTCGAAGGAGAGTATCCAATACCGAATAACTATCTTAAAATAAGAAGCACATATCTTCATGAGTTAGTTATTCATCCGAGCTCTCTTTCGACAGGAGCTTGAGCGTCGAAGTAAGGGAATATCAAACATGTAAGTGAAGTAAGGATATACGGCCTATGCAATCGTGTTTACCAAAAGATTATACACCTGATTTTTTTAGAAATTCATGATCGCATATTCAACGGATGTTTCAAAACATTTTTTGGTGAGTAAAAATCTAAAAAGATTTAAACTGAAATCATTTTGTGGGCTCCCGTGAATTGAATTACTACAAAAAATTCGAAGTTAAGAACGTTTTCATTACTTATTGACTCATAATTTACCCTCTGCGCTAGCTGAATGTGCCGAAATACCAAGAGTTTTTAAAGCTCTCTCAAATTCATCCACGCGCGATCAAGAATATTAAATACATTTTAAAAATGTACCCTTTACGGTAGCTATTCTAGCCAACGTCTGCCGACAACCTCGTAGTCCGAAGCGTCCTTGACCAACTGCCTGCAGCTCATGACATTAATTCGTTTTGGCGCTGCGGGAAGGAATGGAAGAAATTTAAAAAATCACCTGATAGTCTTAAGAAATTTTAAACTTTTTATGCCCGAACATTTCTTAGTTCATTGTTATGCCTATCTGTTTTTAGAGTAAATTTTCCCATTGAACATCTAGAATTAGAATCAAAGCAGGTACGGTCAAGCACTTTATAGTTATTAAAACGTATTTGCGAGTCTTGTCGACTTTTAAATTGAAGGCGTTTACGCGTTCTTTATCCAGAAATTACAATTATCAATGACATTGAAAAATATTTAATGTGGCTTTAATTCCTATAATTACTTGCATATCTGTACTGTAAACTTAGGCAATGAATGATGTTTTAGTTGATACTGTTTACGGTTAGCACGTTGGGTTCGGTATCTCTTGCTGGAAGGGAAACTTTTGCAGCGCATAATTGTTATTTTGTGATAAAAACGAAATGAATTTTAGTTTAGTGCCGGCGTTATTTTAGAAACATCTTGCATATAACCCGGTGCCTCACATTAAAAAGTAAACTATCTTCACAACTAAGAAAGTACACGGCTACAATCACTTTATTCTTCATAAAATAGGGAAAAAATGCAAATAAGAACTGGTTCCGCGTCTCCAAAATGGCTCAGTGACCACTGATTGCATTTCCGCGGAATACTATCGTATTCCGCGGGCAGTACCAACTAGCCAGGGTCGCCTTCTTGATGCCAGTTCTCTTGTATTTTGATTTAAACATCGAATTATTTACTTCTCAGTCAAGTCCAAGCAACGCCAATTCTGCCATTGCGTCAGTTTTTTATATTAAGTTTATTTAGTTGTCATCAACCATTCGCGTCTATATGTTGCGAGTAGCTTAAAAAATTATGATGAATCGAAACTTCTTCCCCTTCGGTTTCGTTTACTGTTCATTATAAAAAGAAAACACTCGTTTACGTGACCTTTTATTTTTTCTTTGTTGAAATCGTTAGGGCTGCGGCATGATGCAGTCCTTCCTCAGTTCCTTTTCCTTGGTCGCTTCGTCGGATGGCAAGCGAGTGGCTGTCGCAGTCTCTCAGAGTGAGAGTCGAACAGTCGCGCTGGTGCCGTCGTACAGTACGGATTGTGGTTTTGTTTAGTGCCGGTCTGCTGTGTTTAAACTTGGACAACTAATTAAAACGTAAGTTATTGATATAATCTAACCTCAACAGCACCACTGTAGAAGATATGAGATTATCACGGATTACTTTCATTTACTACTTACATTTATGTGTACGATTATTCTAGTAGGGCTTGACGTATGGTACAGCCCATGTTTGAGTTAGGAAAATATTCACCTTCCAAACTGACATTCAAAAGAACATAAGGCGGAAACAAAATTTAATTCATTTGTTCGACATACAATAGTGACAATACAAATGTTTGATTTGGGGAATATTTTCCACTAATTTTTACTATTGTGTATTCAAATGTGAATCGTACAGAGTCGAGGTTTAAATGCTAAAGTAGTCTCGATAGTTTTCCCTTGAACCCCATTTCACTCCTTTTGTATTCTCCTTCATGATACTAATCATGGACTAGGTTAAACTTCCAAAGGTGTTACCTCTTTTTCGTTTTACTGCGTTAGTGGCAGTAGATTCCCTGAAAGTTCTAATTTATTTTCTAGGTGTAGGAATGGTGGATTATGCTTGCATTTTCAGTAATTAGGTACCAAGGTTTCGCCGTTGGGGGCTGGCGTGAAATGTAATACCTACTCGTCTTGGTCGTCATTACGTAGGCGTAGCTACTGCAGAAATGCTTTGCGATACCAATTTCAAATTTCAATCGAGGTTTGTCCTTCATGGACATAGATGAACAGAATTTTAATACTATAACTTTTTAGTTTGTAATACGGGAGCATCCGAGCATGAATATTGTTATTGGACTTATTTCTTATAAGTAATGTTGAGGTGTATTATTTTTAAAATTATAGCATTAAAAACTACACATTAGACACCGGTGAGCCGTTTCATTTCGTGAGACGTTTTTTCCTGAAGTTGATACTTGATACTCCCTCACCTAGGTCTTCAAGCCCCTTGGGAAATTAGGCTACTGGTCGAGGCGATCAGTTATTGGTGATATCAGGTTACGCTCGCGACTCGCGTACGAGCTCGTTTTGAGCCCAGTACCCGATAACTATAAATACTTTTTCAGGGAAAAATAAGTTTCGAGGATAGTTAAAATATTATTACGTTTTACCCGAACTGCATTCTCCCGTTTATTTAAGCAGTCTTTTACATCAGTGTCATGGTGTGAGTGGGAACTAATGAGAAAAACATTGTTGTGTGAGCAATTGATCTTTATTTTTAGAGCTTATAAATGTTGTAAAGTTTCAGTCTTCCATTGTACAGTTCATTATTATTGGACTTGAATGCATGCGTTGTCATGACCTACAAGGCGGAAGGTTCCTAGAAGAGACAGAGAGAGAGAGGAATCTGTCACCCCTCTTCCCCCTGGGTGTTCAGTTTCCTCTCCGCATCATCGCGATGCCACAGCGATGTACGAGCGGCGACGATTTCCTGTTTCAGACGCTGCCCGAAACATGCGTTGTGCCTCGGAGTCTGCCAGCAGAGTGGCCATGCAGCATGCATTGTCGAAATATCAGAAGTATATTATTGGTAAAGCGCATTGAAATGTTCTGAGTCTGTTTAATTTGATGTGTACTCGCTGGAAGTGGACTGTCTGCGTGCATTCCATCGCGCTACGCGTAACCTTCGTGGATGTCTCCGGCGGCATTGCTGCCAAAGTTGGCCATGGAAGGGCTCTGTTAGCCTCTACATAAATTCTTTACTGGATTGCAATGCTAAAGGTTATGGAGGGTTTCCACCATAAGTATACATTTGTGCTGTCCATCGCAGGTTACGAGCGTTTTAAGAACTATTAATTGTTTCTTTCATACCATTAAACATGACACGCTTCTGGAATATTGAGAAAATGTGAACTCGAATGGATTTGATCGTGTATCAAAATTTATTCTTGAGGTAAGCTCGTCTATTTTCGAGGAGGTCTGCTGCGTGCATTCGTCTCTGAATATTGTTGGCACCATATCAGGTCCAGTGCACGTGACTAGGATCTCAACGAACTAGATCCCTTTGCCCCCTATCGCCTTTCACTTCCAGTTGCACCTGACTTGGAAGCGTAGTCTAATGGCTTGTTAAGTGGCGCCGCCGTCTTTAGAGTGGAAAAGAGAAGAGGAGGAAATAGATAATAAGCGACATAAAGGGCCCATGGTACATACGAGGGAATACTAACTTATTCCATTCGTTTCCTACACTCGTCATCCTCGTAGAAATGAACACTGAAACAGTTTTAGATAGATCATTTAGTTTACTACTTCCTCGTGCTGAAAACGTATTTTAATAATTTACTTATTTTAGTTTTGATTATCAAAATAGTCAAAATATGGATGGAACGTCCATGGAGGTCTGATGGAAGTTGTTGGTGCTGACGCCCTTGCATGGCTACCAGTTTTTTCTCGCTGGCGATTGTGGCCTTGAGCGAAGAGTCAAAAGTTTTGTACTGAGTGAAGTATGAAAAAACTACGTGGACCCTGAATAACTTGATTCCTAAAGCTTATAGAGGAGTCTCAACCTTGAACAAAATTATGCAACTAAGAACCAATCGGTTTATCAGCTTTGACCCTTCACTAGACATGAGTAAAATGCTTGGTTAATTTGTTTGAATGTTATCGACAAGGTACACAAGTTATTTAAAAATAACTGCCAGAATGTACCCTTAAACCTTTGTTTTTGATACTTGAAAAATTGGAGAAATGGCGTTTACTGACGAATTTTCGGCTGTTTGATTCACTTGAAATCATTTGCTAAGCCCAAAGCCTTAAAAAGTTGTGGTGCAATTGCGCAACTCAATGTGTGGAAGAGGAAATGTATTTTCACTCGTTCACTCTAAAGCTAATTCTCCATATAGTGCACGTTTGTTACCACAATAAAGCCTTATCGGTGTTAACATAATTTCGGTTATTGATTATTACACGGATACAACTTCACAAGGTTAGTGCTCTTGTTTATTCGGTATCCTTAACTTCCACCACATCTGACGGTCTACTAACTCTCCCCATCTACTCGCTCGCTTTTACACTCGATATCATTGATCAAATACGCAATCTAGTTGATGAATTTCCTTACAATGTTCCCTTAATTATAAAATGTTTCATTTTTTTTTTGCTTCTAGCGGCGTTGTCTGACAACTAGTCTGTATTTCTCCAAGCTGGTCTGAAGACTTGCAATAATATTTGAAGGCCTGAGCTTCTTTTATATGCACGAGATATCCTTCCTGATTGTGCTTTTTATTCTAATGTGTGGTTTCATGTCAGGCTAGCTGATATTTAATGGCGTCAGTAGGCCAATGTCGCGTGTATTTGATATTCTGACGGGCTACGTTGGAAAGTGATTGGGAATTCAGAATGAAGGAATGCCGAAGGAGGCTATCTTTGTCGGTTTAGACATTTTAAAGTAGTTTTGATGCCAGCGGTCTCGTTGTTCTAAATGTTCTGATTTTTGCTCCTGCAAGCAATATAACACATGCGGCCGACATCTCGAATAATTTTTATGTGTGAATATTAGATTATTTTTCGATTGCTTCAGAGTATAAATTTTTACTGAACAAACTTGCTTTGAAATATTACTAACTTCTTCTGTGATCAACAAGCTGTTATCATTTTGATGGAAGTACGCCAATTTAAACAAAACTAACTAGTGATTAAACACGAACCCAGTTAAGACAGTTTTTTGTCGTACTCTGAATATCTCTGTTGGGTGGACCCTATAGCCCTGAAAGTTATATAGAATATAAGAGCTTTGGACGTGCGCGCTTCAAGGTTGCTTCGCGCTCACAGGAGTCGAATAGCACGAGGTGAAGTTGGTCAGTGCGCCTGATTAGAATAAGAAAAAAAAATCACGTGGTAGTTTCTAACAAGTCATATATTTTAAAGTTGGACACTCGGAGTGATTACTCCACCAATTTTACGTTACACGCCGTTTTCCGCAGAGTTCGCAGCTTAGTCTTATTAATTATAAGTGCATTTGAATGCGCGTTTTTCCGGCGCAAAAATGCATGTTTGAATGCCAATTTAGTTATAAGCGACGAGATGCTCATATTTTTTTAGAATTTCTTATGAACATCACAGGATTCGTATTTTATAAATTTATCTTTGTCTACCTTAGATTTGTTCGACACCAGATGCTCTGATTCAAGGAATTCTGGACGTAGTGCTTTGGAGCGCAATATTAAGGTATCCGGTACATGGTGATGTCAAGTTTCATCTTGATGTTGATAGTTACTTATCACGTGATGCACGAGACGTTTTTTCTGACTTGACCACAGCTTGATCCACTTTCGCCACACAGCTAGGCAGCTAGACGAGAGTTTCTTGCGCTTTTTCTTCGTCTTCTCTCAAATTATCGTTGCCCCTCGCTAGACGTCGATTGCATACCCCTCCCCTCACGATCAACTTGGCCTGTGCTTGTGCCCGCATTGCGCGAACAAAACTTAAGGCGGTCTGTTGCGCGATGCGAAGAAAGACTGCTGCATTGCGCTCCGCTTCACACCGGTGCTTCATCGACTTTACCTTGTCCCACTTCTTTTGGTAATTTTATTTTGTGAATTTTTTTAATTTAGTAGCATTTCAACAAGAAAACGAAAAAAAAACAGTTCAAATTTCTTTATGCAAAAAAATGTTTGTTGCATTATAACAAATTTTTTTGTGCAAAAAATATGTTTGTTGCATGAGAAAGCACTGAATTAGAGCTGTTTTATGAACCTCGCTTTATACTGGGTACAGAATGAATGATTGCAAAGAAGATACTCCTGAGCCTTTACTGCACACTTGAGCTCGTAGCGCACCTGTAAGCAGGAAACCTATTCATGACCTCGTTCATTGCTTGCAGTTGAAGCGACCTCGAGTGCAGCTCGTTTTGCTCTTTAGTGTGCGTCCGACCCTTCATTGTAAGCTTGTGTTCTATTCTTTACCTTACTTCAATCAAAGGAAAATTCGTCACTAGGCAAGGTAACTGCAAGTCGCGAATTTGCGTTCACGCGTCATTTTAGTTCAGTTGCAATTTTGAAGTCTATCACATGTCGCATTTTTTTGACGGTTGTTTGTCAGCTACTTTGGATGGATTATATTGACATTTATTGCAAACTGAAATGCATTTTATGATGTTTGGTTATCCTGGTTTATATAACCTAGATTTTGGGTTCTTTATGGAAAATGTTTGTGCATAAAAATATTTGTCTGGGTTTGCTCTGCCAATTGATGTGCAACTGCAATACGGTAGACGTGAGGGCACGCGCCTGTTACCGTAATGAAAATAAACTGCGCTGCGATAATCGAAAGCTTTTAGCTCGGAGCAACGATCGCTCGCATGCGTTGCTTTTGGAAGGATTTATTCTACTTAATTGAATTGAAAAAAATCTTCTCAGTTTAACGCAGCTCGTTGGTTTCAATTTATGTGAAAAATTAATAGAAACTTTTCGCATTGTTCCCGAGTAATATATTTCTTTGCTATAAAGATTCTCCCTCTGGTCTTATCCGCATCTTCTACATGAGCGACTTGATTGATGAGTGTGAAGACGCAGTTGTTTAGCGTGAAAATTTATATATATATCTTAGTTTTTATTTTGCTCCAGTAAATCTTCCCGTTCATTCACATCCCGTAAAACCTCGTTCATCCGCTTCTTGGTTGATTACATTCATTTTCCTCGTATAGAATTCGAAACACTTTAATGCTATATAACAAATTATTAATTATATTAATTTGATCCTTTCCAGAATTGCAAGATGAAGTTCTCAATTCTATCGGCCTTGACACTGGCTTTATTTGCCGTGGCTTTGTGCCGAGCTGAAGGAACTACTGCTGATCACGGGGCTGCTCCCGAACCCTCCGCCGAACCTTCCCCAAAAGCAGCAGAAGCCAAGGCGTCTCCCGCGCCTGACACCAAACATGAAGGTTCCGGTCACCATGAAGGTCCTCACGCAGAGCCCGAAGCAGAACCTGAACCTGATTCCTCTACGCATGGGAAACCAGAAGAAGCCTCAGCGGAGCCAGAACCTGAGCCCGAGCACGAAGCAGCGGAAGGCGACATCAAGCCAGAGCATCAACAAGTTGTGGAAAAGCCAGGTACGAAAATATGTCAGCGTGCTTAGAAAATTATTTTTAAGTAGGAAAGTTTTGATATTTTGCACGGCAAAAATTTATGGCGAAATTTCACTAATTAAATTGTAAACAAGAGGAGCAATTATTGTGACGAGAGTAGCATGTACCCAAATAATTGTGACTGTATCGGTTTCTTCAAGCTTAGTTTAGGAATCGATTCTTGGAAGATTGCCCTTGGTTAACCAATCTCATAAAATGTGGTGGTTCCCTTAACGCGTTTACCAAAGAGCGACACGGCTGTGTGCCTATATATCATTAGGCCGAGATGAGCACGGCAGGATCCCCATGACGGGATTATAAGCCGAGCTACAATGGCATGCGGAGACACTATGGCTCTGAGCTTGGATGCAGTTATCCACGGTGGCATCTAATAAATTTTGGAGCATCGTGTTTGTATTAAACGACAGAACAAATTTCTCTTGGAAGTCGAATGAACGCGTTTCTTTACATGAAAGAAGCTTGTGTAAGAAATCGATTTCGGATTACGTAGCACTTCTTCAAGATCCTACAAAATTATCTTTGGAATGTTACCGTTGAAACTCATTTTAAAGATGGCATCTAGCATGTAAATGTTTTTTTTATAATTATGCGAGAACTCATTAGCGAGAACTCAGCTAAGTGCGCTCCAAATTCAGGGAAGTTTAGATTACTTTGCCTGTACCTATTATGGTATGACCCAGTGCCACACACCATTGACGATGACTGTAATTAATTCATTTTGAAGTTGGAGCAGGTGACTTATCCATATTGTTGAGCTTCTTCAGCACCCGCATGACCTCGCTTATGCAGACCGCCCTCATTGTTGTCCTACCACGGTCGATGATGATACTCTTGGTTCATCGACCCTCACTTCATTATCATTTGGGTTAAAAATGAGGGAAAAAAATAAAAGAAGCTTCTCTAAGAAGGTTCTATTCACTGCGCCGCCATGCGTCCTTTGGCATCGACCCTGTCTCTTTTCAGCATAGCGTGTTAGCGTCGCTCTTACTGGAGAGACAACTTTGAAAAACGACCAAGGAGGTGTTTTGTGTTTTCACTGCAATATTGATTAATATTTACACTGAACTGCATTAGTTGGAGGCAAGGTTTTTAATCTAGAGTTGTGAGTTGCTTACGTTTGTTGAAAAAGTAAAATTCCATGTCAAGCTACCGGTATCGTGATAGAAGTGCCTCCTTGATTACTTCTTGAACGTCTAGGAAAATTATTATTTGAAAAAAGTATATAGTGATTTGTTTTGTGACCATATTGTGGCAAAGAAGCCTATTCTCAGCGTACAGTTATTTGAAAGTTCATGTATTACGAATTTTAAACTTATTTAGGAACCTCCTGAAGCTTGATAAAAACACACGAAAACTGACACATTTTTCGTCGTAGCTCCGCAATAACGTGTGAATGTGCCAACACTTTGTCACACCCGTGGCAGCCTGTGATCCATTAGCCCAGTTCTCCGTAGGCTGGCTAGACTCATAACTCTTTATTGTCGGCTTCGTGACGAAGTGTCGACCGGCGCAACAGCCGTTGTACGCTCACCAAAACCACAAGACTCTGATGTTCATCAGGTCGGCCACGATGTTGCCCTCATTTTTTGCTGCTTCGTATAGATCTTGTCCAGTTTCGGCAGCGTGCAAATGTTCTGAAGTAAGCAAATATGGACATCAAGAAACTAAGCTAACAACTTTACAAATGTTTGAGCAGAAGGCTTATACGAATAGTTGCCCTGTGCTTTACTTCATTCAGTGCCAATTGAAGCATCGGGACAAAAGAGCCACAGAAAAACAATCCTGTGAACGGAAGTGGGCAATTCAACTGATTGGACGAGTTTCGTATCAGTCTTGTTACGGGTTATATAATTACTCCATTGTCGATCATGACGTTATTGTATGCGTCACATAGCTGTTTTACACGCTGCGCTAACAGACAGAACAGCAAACGCAGTTTTTTCGAACTTCAGCGTAGGTACCCTAAAAATAATATGAGTTTCAATTTAAATTATTTTTAAAGACAGCACTTCTAAAGAATCCAGTGTCTCCGATGCAGTGTCTCACATGCACAATGAATTTCTAATTTTATTTTCATACATAAAAAATGATTTTCTTTTTTTATATGGACAAAAATTAAATATTCAAAATTATTCATTCTGTCAATTGATTTATGCACGTTCTCCGACTTTACATAAGTGTGCAACATTTCATATCGATTGGACAGATAGAAGCGTATTAAATATCGATTATAAGATTTGTAGCAGACAAACGAGAAGTGAAGTTAGGGAGAAGTGTTGTAATAATTAGCAGTAATTAGCGCGGCTAATAATTAGCAGTAATTAGAGCAGCTGTTAATTGTACAAACTTTGAATTTAATCGTTACGCATAAAAATATTGGTATTTTTATAGGTTTAAATACTTTTCAAAAGCCAAGTTGGTCCTAATTAATTTCGTAAGCCAGAGAATTCACGTCATTGCATTTTGCTACTTATATGGACCACAGTTGTCTGTGGTTTCACGTTCTTCAGAGTGGAATTTGCGGTTCAGGTCAACAACATAATGCAGGAATGCAAGGGAATAAAAGTTCTAACCTTGATACTTGAATTCCCTTCATTTATTTGAACAATCACCGGAAAGCGGTCCCTGCGTGAGTTGACCTGCCGCTACGGGACGTCCTTATAGCGCAGCGTTTGTGCCTTGGGAATCTCTCACTCGACACCTAAAATCGGAACGGTAGCGGAGACTACTTAGTTTGCACAAGAGTTAGAGATAAGTTAACCTTAGTTTTTTCCTCTAGATTTCTCGTTGATAGCATATTTTCGCTTGCTGTGACTTGCATAATTTATTTGTCAATGTTCCTTGCAGCAATCTTTAAAAAATTTAACTCGGTACTCACTGCAGTGAGTGACAGAGCGCATTTTCTCGTCGACGAAAACGTGAAGTCACGGACGGACGGACGGACATGGCGAGCACAATAGTGCATTTTTTCCATACATGAGAAAATGCGCTAAAAATACGTGCTTTCTGTCATTCTAGTTAACTGCTTTTATTGATTAAATTTTGGTTCACAGGTGCTGCATCTGCGAGCACACTTGGGGAGAACGGCTGTGGCAGCGTCGTGACGAGCCTCGCTCTTGTCTTTGCCGCCGTCGCTGCTGTGATGAGCGCTTAGATTCTGCTGTCCTTGCATCATGCATAGGCATGAATTGGTTCCATTCAGAGCAGCTACTAATAAATTTATCTCTTGTGTTCCTAGGACGCAGGCTTGTAATTTTCTGAGTATTATCAAGGTGTTGAGTGTTAGCTACTGTAATGGAATACTGTTAGTCATAATAGTTGTATTTTATCGGTGGATGTGTAAATTATTAGTTATGGTTTTGGATGCTCGCTGGTTCGTCAGATTCTTTCGATTGCCTAATACTTAACGAGGACAAATTTTGCCCTCCTATTTACTTTCATTTGTAACGGAATTATAAGATCATTACTACGCTTCATACAACACAACGCCGTTGTGCTCAGCTCGCTAGTCTTATAGCTACTAGGCCCATCCGTATTTATTCATTTTCTTTCATCTTTCTGCGGTAATGAACCAATTCACAGCTTTTGGATAAAGTTTTAAGTTTCTAGCGGTTAGTTCATGTCTAAGTAATCTTGGAGTGTCATAAAAAATTCTATTTACCTGCTATTTAATAAATTGGGGGCTTCTAAGTGACCTTGCTATGTGATATTGTGAGGTTCGATTCGCAAATATAGAATACAAATTAGCGTTGTCTTCTTCATTGAGTGTTCCTTGCATAACCTTTTCTTGAACTTTTCTGCAAGAATTCCATATTCCTTGCATGCACAGTAGTATATACTAGAAAAAAAGTGTGCAAACTCTGAATCTTGCGCCAGGTAATTTACCCAAGGTCTATTAAGCAGTAAAAAAATCACTTATTCCTCAAATATAATCGTTGCGTAGACGTAGTTCAGTTCTTTGAATAAAGAGAATAACAACTTGACATCTCCTTGATTAAGTTATACATAGCCCTCTGTGATCGCACGTCCTCCTGATGCTGGAGGGTATAAACATTGAGCGTAGAGATCGCACGAACTAAACTTTTCATGTAACAACGCATCATGAGAACGTTAACCACAAGCAGCAAGCACATGATGAAAAATGACCCTGAATAGGATGAGCTGCGTGCAGAATGTAAACATTGTGAGAGGACGCGGTCTCCGCGGCACTCCCGCTGATGAGAGCACAGAGGTATCGCCTGTCTCGTCCGCTTCCCTCTGAATACTTCGTGCTCAACTCTTCTATGACTGATGAGAAACAGCACGCGCTCCTGGCCTTCCGAAGACTTTACATAGTGTCTACCCTCAGGGTAAATGAAAAGTTCAGCGTGGTACGTTCAACACGTTATTTGAAATTTGCATCTCTATACAAACGATAGTTCAACGTATTTTATTCTAATGGATTGTATATATGTAGAATATGAGATAAGAATCAATTATGCCAAATTCACATTGTAATAAGTTTTTAAGTAACCTAGAAAACTTCCGACCACAATCCACGTAACAATTATTTTTTCGAAAGGTACTAGTTAACTTTCTAACGACACGGTAAATGGAACTTTCTAACGACACGGTAGATGGTAGCTCTTAATGTAAAATAGAAGTTTAATTTAGGGCTAAGTACTGAATGGTTTGTTCTGCAAAACTGAAACAAGTGTTGGCTTAAAGATTATTAAGATAATTTAGCTTTATTCAAATTGGATTAGACATATCGATATATGTACACATCGATTGAATTCACTGTCAAAATATGGTTTCAGATATTGTTTCAACTCTCCGACACCGAAATAAAAAGTGGACCTTAAAAAGAGAGCACCGAGAGTCAATATTCAGATTTGTTTGCACAGCACGTAGGATGCGAAGTGCTTAAATAAAAAAATCGTACATACTTTTTTTTTGAAGTAAAACTGACCAGTAACCCATTTTTTCACGCTATCGGAAATAAATTATGATAATTCTTCATAGTGGCAACTAGGTAAATAACTTGGTTCTCAATAGATTTATAAGGTATAACAGTATCCTCCAGTTAATAACTAAATTCCAACCCCAAATTGCAGATTTTAACAGCAAACGGACAAGTCAAACACAGATCACTTGCGAAACTTTAAGAAAACAATATGTGGCATGGTATGTGTGTCCATTTATAAAAACCATTAAACGAGAAGTTCGTCACGGACTAACAAAAGCAAGAAATTAGTTGCCATCATCGTAGGTAGCAGTTACTTCCTTTTAATTAATAACTGAACACGAGTATAGCACTGGGCAGATGATCACTGAGCTTACTCAGTTTCACACAACATTGTAGACGGAATTTATATTTTAACACGAAAAAGAAAACCAACAACAGATCAGCCGAGAATTAAGTGAATATGCGAAAATTAGATCGTACATAATTATTAAAATCTTAATAACTAATTAGTGATAATGTGAAGCACAGCCAATCAGACGACCATTTAAGGTTAATTTCAAAATCTAACGCACGAACTAAAACCAAAAATGAATTTCATGAGGTCACGCGTGTGGCAATAATTTTTGTACTGGGTCCCCACACAAAAGTTTTTTTCGAGTCTGCAAGACACCCGACGTCATCAGGCAAAAAATAATCCAAATCAATTTTAAAACAGAACCAGTTTGTTGAAGGAAGGAGTAATTCACATCGCAAATGCACTAAATAGGAAATTCTCCCGCGTGGCAAGGCATACATCGTGAATGTAAATGCAAAAGAACAATGCTGACAAAGACCAACGTATGAAATTAAGGCATAACTCAATGCTTCAAACTATTGTCACCGAATATTTTCTACATATTTACAGGCTAGCGATGTTTCACTTGAGCTGCACTTCGAGTTGTCTCTCGTCCTCCTGGTCGTCGACGTGCTGCTGAGCTTCCGTGGGCTCGTCAGGCTGGCGCTGGTAGGTGGGCGGCACCTCACCGCGCACAGCTTGTGCCGTCACCAAAACCTTCTCGATGTCAGACCCGGGGATTTCAAACATAGCGTCCAGAAGAAGATTTTCCTGTTGACAACGAAAAGACATACGCTGAAAAAAGCTCTCAAACACAAGTTTACTGATGGGAAAGCTGGATGTTGTTATTTCTGTTGTCTTAAAAAAATCATTGAAGCTGCGCAATAATATCCACTACGGTATTGCAGATAATGAAACACATGTAAATTCCAAAATTCAAAATGGCCTATCCTTTTGCCGCAGACAATGAAGCAATACAGTAGAAGGGAGACAAATCAATACCAATACAAGAGATGGTGTCCCAACTAAAATAAAAACAACGCTGACAACACTCACCATTATCGCCCTTAGTCCTCGTGCTCCAGTTTTTCTCTCCATGGCCATGGTTGAGATTTCCTTGAGAGCATCAGCATCAAAGTGCAATTCGACATTATCCATGCCAAACAGCATTTGGAACTGCGGCACGAGTGCGTTGCGAGGCTCAGTCAAGATGCGCACCAGCATCTCGCCAGTGAGAGAGTGGAAAGGCACAACAACGGGGAAACGGCCAACAAATTCAGGAATCATGCCAAACTCAATGAGATCGCGAGCCTCACACTTGCTGAGAAGAGCATCTTTCTCTTGCATGTCCTCAAGAGCGTCGGTGCTGCCAGTCTGGTGAGCCACATCGGCCTGGCTAGCTGCTCGCCGACCTGCTCCATCACCCGTGGCGGCGCCAAAGCCAAGATATTTCTCATTATTGCGTCTCGATACCACTCTATCTAGTCCGTTAAAAGCTCCTGATGCGACGAATAGGATGTTGGTGGTGTCTACTTGAATGGTTTCCCCTCGGAGCTTGCGAGGGCTGTTACGTTCAGGCACCTGGACCATCGTCCCCTCTAGCATTTTGAGCATGCCTTGCTGGACTCCTTCACCTCCTACGTCTCTCAGTTGATGAATGCCGGGGACAGCCCCTATTTTGTCTACTTCGTCCAGGAAAACGATGCCCTGCTGTGCTTTATCGATATTGTAGTTAGCATCTTGCACTAGTTTTGCAATGACGCTTTCAATGTCTTCACCCACGTAGCCAGCTTGAGTCAGAGTTGTGCAGTCGCAGATAGCGAAAGGCACGTCAAGGCAAGCGGCGATAGTCTGAGCAATGAGGGTCTTGCCTGAACCAGTGGGCCCCAGCAGTAAGACGTTGCTCTTCTCAAGGCGGAGATTGTGAGTAGACGACTCGAGAACATCTGAGCCTTGAGGGCCTTGAGCTTCTCCCTTGCCATCGTCAGAGCCACCCTCGTAATTTCCCACACCAAGAGCACTACTTTGCTGGCTCATGCCTTGTAGATGACGCAGCAGCTCTACAGAAACACATCACAGGATTAAGATTTTCAGCAAAGAAGCAAAATTCCACCCGAAATTCTAGTCTTTGGAGCTGTATTACAAGAGAGCTTTAATTAACACCACGAGTCCATGATCAAAATTAGTTTCAGGCAAATATTCATACAATAGAAGATATTTTACAATTTTTGCATTGCAAGTTAAAGAATAGAAACATAAGAAACAACAGGACGGATAAAATTCCCCTACAAGAAGTAAAGCCGCAATAGTGTTTCCAGAATAATAAAAGAAATAAACAAACACTTTTAAGTAAACATAATTGCCATACCTTCTTTAGCACCAGGTGCCCAGGTAGTATTGCCATCTGTAAAGAGAAACATGACGCTTGGCGTCAATTCTTAAACACTAATACAAAAAACAACAGGAGTATGTCATGCATAAAAGGCAAAAGAAAAAGGAAATTATGATGTACCACTTTTTAATTATTGATAATGTAATCCATATAAATTCGTGTTGTACAATTTGCTCAAGTTAAATCAGCAATTTCACTAACAAATGGAAACAACCAATCCTGTATCACAGATACTTACAAGGATGTAAAGAAAAATTGAAGATTGTGAGTGAGGATGTACAAATTAGAGTTGTTCCTAGAAATTATTCGGTAACTTTATCAACTGTAAAAACCTTTGGCGCTGGTGTTGCCAGAAATGCCACCAATCTGGAAGCTTGTATGGTGTTGTATAGGCACGCCGTCGAGAGGTAAAGGCTCGGGTTTTGCTTGAGGAATATTATGATAAATTCTTTTGTAATGATTGTAGACAGCAACACTTAGGACTTTTTTGGCACGCTCCTGCCCGATGACATGACTATCCAGGTACTCGTAGATCTGTAATAGAAATAATTTTTTAAATAACGCATCTCCTAAACAGAATAGGAGACTATGGTATAAAGGGAATTGATAATGAATCAAAATAGTGAAGAAACAGACGAATGTACCGGTACTGAATAATTACCAAGTTTCAAGGTGATTAGATATCTATTTACCACAAATATGATAGTCACTCAAGGATTCAATGGTATTTAAGAACAATGTTAATCATAGAGCATTAAACCTTCTTAGGTGGAGGTGGAGGTTTGCGGGGCTGAGGAGCTCTTTGGCCCACAGGTTCTTCTTTGACTTCACGCCCAACGCGGCGCTTGCCGTTGAAGCCGTTCCCTTCTGCAGAGTGCTTGTTGTCAGCATCACTGATCACCACAAAAAAGTGGTGGCACTTTTCACACTTGACAAAACGTGTTGAGTCTGTAAAAAGATTCGCCATGTTTAAAAATTTAAAATAAAAACATGAAAAACATACACAAGCACATTGACTATGTTTTGTTCAAGTTAACGTTTTTCCAGTACCTATACTAAATACCATTTTAGATGTACTTAAAATTATTTATGAAACAATTTTTGTCATTTTTCAATAAGGAATACTGAGGAGGGGATAAAGTCTGTACACAAGAACTAATCGAGCATAATACATTCAAGTTACTCATAGACTCCAGAAGCAAGAGTCAAATGATTTGTTATAATAAAGGTAAAAGAAAAGTGAATAGTATTGAGCTCACATGTAGGAACAATATAACTGAATAAAATAATACTCACTAACAAAAGTTTCAACATGGCTGCAGGGGTCACCACATTTAGGACAACACATTTGTCCATCACCACCTTTTCCACTGCCCTTGTCTGCTCCATTACCAGAGCCGTTGCCTCTTCCACTGTTAACACCACTTCCGGCTCTTCGACCTCTGCCACGGATCTCACCACCGTCACTAGGAGGTTCTGTGGTTGCTTGTTGCCTAACTCCAGTGTAGTGTAAATGACTGTAAAAGTCAGTAGGCACATTGCCTGTGAAAAAGAAACTGCTTGAAGAAGGTAAAAATTTGAAGAAATTCAAATAAATGAAAGTGTACCGGTATTCCAGAAGTTGCTAACAACATCAGTGAGATAACAAAAAAAATCTCACAAATTTAGTTAGTTGGCATCAATACTTAATGAAGGTTTCTATGGGAAGGTAATGAGATATTTCACATTTAAATAAAAAATAATGAGTGAGAACTCAAGGGCAGACAAATGAATTATTATAAATATGATGGCAATATTTCAATTAATTTGCATTTAACATATGTACCTAATACAAGTAATCAAATCATACTTACTAGAATATTCGTAGGTTAATAACAATGGTTCAACAACTGGAGTATGTATTTCAACTACTCCTGATGTTTGAAAGATTGCACTCCCACTCCCAGCAGTTGCAGCAAAAGGGGGCACCAATCGCCTCAAGGAGCCACGTCCCAACCTAATGCACAACATCTGAAAACACAATATAATTAATAATAATAATAAAAAGTTTAAAAACATCCTTTGAGTATAAAAATTATGTTAATATTGTTTATTTTATAATACTTTTGGCTAACTGTGGGATGCCAAACAGGTTTAAAATTCTAAAACTAAAAGCTGTTTTTGAAAATATTTCTCCATTCCATCTCAGGAAAAAATATTCAATTTCCAAGCTTTCATGTAATTCTCAGGGCTGTAAGATTTCTAAAAGATCAATTATCTTCCATATAATTTATAATTAAAAGCAAAAACTAGCTGCAACATTCTGATTGTTTTAAAAATTTGATACTTTGGAGCTACAAGTTTTCAATAACAAGTATGAATTCTTCAATCATGTTCAATTCAATCCCAGACAATTTTGTGGACAATCAATGTGAAGCTTTCTATGAGCGCTCAACCGCCACCGCAGTGTGGAATTCTAGATGGGTATTAAATTAGCCAGTACAGATAGCATATTGGAAAGCAGGACTTGAAAGATAGGAAAGCAGGACCTGAAAGCTTGGAAAGGACACAAACTTCTACTTTCAGTCTATTATATACATATCCTATCCCATTCCAGCTATGATTGGTTGATGGGATTGTGATATTATCCCCTTTCCAGCTGTGATAGGTTGATGAAATTTCGATGTCATCCTTTCTAGCTGTGAAAAGATTTTTTATAAGTAAATGTTCATTCTTAGAATTCCAAACCTGTACTCAAGCAATCAATTTAATAGCCCATTAACCCCCTTTGAAGTTTGAAGTAGCCCTATCTGCTGTTTGGTCATTCTATAGTCTATACTTCTATTGTCAAGATCAAGAATTTAGGCCTAGAATAATGGCAGAAATACTAAAATTTGTTGCCAGAACAACTGTAGACTTAACTCTTAAGGGTTTGTTGTTGCTAACACACCAAGAATATAAATAATGAGCCAGGTGTTGTCAACTTCAAAAATAAATTTTGTTAGGTAGAATCTTTCTATGACAAAAAATTTGTGGCTTTAAATTTTTCTCACACTGAAACTGAATTAGGTACCTACAGCTTTAAAAATTCTGTTATACAAGAAAAAAATTCAGAGCACACATAAAATACCAATCCAAAATTTCTGTTGCAACTTATTAAGTAGTAGATACTTTTTGGTTTGAGATTGAATGAATAGCATGAAAATTTCAACTCTCGAGTGTTCATTCGGAAATAGAATCAGGTCAATTTTGATTCCTACAAGCTACAACTATAACTGAATAGAAAATTCTGTTAATCAAAAGTAAACCAGACATTTCATAATGTAAATTAAAACTAAATATACATCAGCAAAGTGAACTCGCGCTGTGGGGTCAAGGAAGTAGGAAGTTGTTTGACTTCTTTCTTATTTCTTCACCTTCTCACCAGTCACCACACGCAGCTTGAGTGACTAGCTACTGCGTAGCACGATCATAGGGTCTGTTAATTCAAATGTTTTTTACATGAAACAATACATCTTCAATGAATTTATTAGAAGCTTAACTTGTGAAAAAAGCTTCATTAAAAAAAGTTAACTTACGTTGATTAATGTTTTCTGCTGATAAATTCGCAACCTTGCGAGTATTCGCTGATCATTCTCTCAGCTGATGACAACTCAAAGCTCCGAAAGCGAATCATAACACAAGCTTCTACCCGATATACAATCAAATAAGCAGCGCCCTCTTTTAAAGAAAAAGAACGCTTATATTCAATAATAAAGATATAAATTCAATATAAACAGCCTTTTGGAGAACAATTCTTCAATACCGAAGAAATCAGCGATTGACTGGAATTGATGTGTAATCTTTCGAGTATTAATACAAGGAGAATTAAATTCACCCACAAATTCAGGAAAATTCTGAACTTATGCGTTAAGTATTATTGAACGACTAGTAGTTATTTCTTGATGTTACCAAAATAACATATCTGAGCAATAGATTGCAGTATGTTACCAACATGTAGGTATCGCCAGATTCTACTTTTTTAACGTGATGCCGGAACTGCCGGAAGCGGATCTCACACGAAAAAATAGATATGTCTCTTTCTCTTATGGTATATTATGTCCACAGCTAAAGAAGTGATATTGGGTCCGGTAACGAGTAACCTCACTGACAGTTGACTCTAATCCCGGCCATGAGCCGTGACCCGTGAAAGACATGGGGACAACCCCACATTATCAATAAACAACATTATCTCGGGTTCCTGGCCACGCTCGTGCACCGGTAGAGCCGTAGTCTGCGTAGAGACTAGAGCCTGGAGGTAGTCGTAGTTCTTTAGTGGAAAATGTCTATTCACTATTTCTTAATGCTAGATCCCTATGACTCGGACAATTATTTTAATCGAGAAACAAAGTTTAGGACTTGTGTGCAGCATGCCCCAGGGCCCAGGCCATATAGTAAGGCTTCTTGCTCTTGTTTTGAATGCCATAGAAACAGGTAAAATTGGTCTGATTAGCAGGTATTATTGTCTAATTCACCTGTAATTTTTCTCAATTTTCCTGTTAGTTAGGTAACTTATGTGGCTCAGAGCCTCAGCAGTCAGCATTGTGAACATTTTGTAAGCTAGCAACATAAGTCATTCTGGAATATCAGACTGAATTATTTTCCTAAAAATTGTGGGTAGGGTAAACGCGGTATATTCCGACACTTTAAGGACGCATCGAGAAATGAAAAACTATTTTAAAAAAACCGTATGCGTTACGTAAGTTCTGTTGCCTTCACATGACTCTCAAAACACTTCACTACGCGTCAGCAATCTAGTGTTTTTGCAGTATTTCGACACGCAAATGTATGACGTCACCATTTCAACCATCAATGAACGCATGGAACTAAAACAAAGCTTAATATAAAGGAAAAACTAGAGAAGTGACGGAATTACCTACGATGTCGGAATATACCGCGTTTACCCTACAAATGATTGTTGTACCAGCAATTTTTGAAAATTTTTGGCTCAAATGTAGCATTATTTCTTATTTTTTATGGAAAAAATTAGGAAAAAGCCATAGAAATTATTAAAATTAGGTAACCTTATTTATTACCTTAAGCATAAATGCATGATTAATTTTGTCTATTGTGGGTGGTTTCTTCCCAAATTTTCTGAATGGCACAAAAGTGCTTATGGACACCAGCGCAGCATGTAAGGCAGCACTAAGGCTTGCATGAAATATATCTATCAATTGAGCCATCATGCCATGACCACAGCTTCTCACCATTTTTGAGCCTTAAGATTCCTTCTAGATTAATTATCTTCCATCTAATTGTTAATAGAACTGCATGACTGGGCCACAATATTCCATGTACGGTATATAAATAATTGTAACTTTGCAGCCATAATAGTTCATTGATAAGTATGAAAATTTCAATCTAGCTTCCAGGCACAGTTAGTGACATTGATTGTTTAATGGTACTTATGGTAGGATTGTTTAACACGTTCCCCGCGTATCCAGATTTCCCCAGTATTCCCTTATTGCGGAAGGCTTTCAGTGGCTGCTGCTTCAGTTAGGCGCCATTGGCCGTGACAAGAGGAGGTGTGTGCTGCTCTGTGGCATCATAGCTTTGCATAGCTGCAATAAAAATGTTGGGACACATGTGGTACATTACGCAAGCAAATAATAACCACATGTTGTTCTTGCGTATTGTACCACCGGTGTACCAAGTATTTATTGAGCCATATATATACTATAATAGAATAGAAGGGAATAGAAGGAAATAGAAGGGAACAGAAGGGAATGGAAGGAAATAGAAAGGAACAGAAGGGAATAAAAGGAAATATAAGGGAATAGAAGGAAATAGATGGGAATAGAAGGGAACAGAAGGAAATAGAAGGGAAAAGAAGGGAATAGATGGGAACAGAAGGGAACAGAAGGGAATAGATGGGAATAGAAGGGAATAGAAGGAAATACAAGGGAACAGAAGGGAATAGATGGGAACAGATGGGAATAGAAGGGAATAAAAGGTAATAGAAGGGAATTATTAGTTAGAATTTTTACAGTTACTTATCGTTTGTTCAAGGAGATTTACGAATAAAATTTTGGTCCATTGATTTGTTTTACTTAATAATCCACTTTTTGAGTGAATATTAATATTATAAAAGACAAAGTTTAAGTGCGAAATTTCGAGTTATATGTGTTTTTTCAAAACGGCGTAAAATACTGCGTTTGGTACACTGGTACCCCAATACGCAGCAGTGGAATATCACTGTTGGTACACATATGGCCCAATACGCGGGGAACGTGTTAAGAGCAGTACTGGGCAGTGGGCACTGTGGCACTATTTAAGTAAGAAAAATGTTTGGCTACTGGCAACATGTAAGCACTTAGGTATAATCACTTATTTGCTGACAGCTTTGGTGGCATGGAAGTGATAGACTTGATTTTATCTACTATTTACCATTAATTACTTGGGATTTATGTCATAAATTTTATTATTACTTTAAACATTCCCTGCTCAGTTGAAACTTGAAAATTCTGAAATGTGATTTTTTACCTCTGAATGTTGTTTCATTTTTGAATTTGAGCCAGTAGTCCAAAACTTGAGCAGAATTCATTCCAGAATGGGTGCTAATCAAAGCACCAGAAAAATTACATTGATGAATGATGAAAAATCTGGCATCATAAAGGTTAGTTGAGTTAATCATGATGCTATAGTTAATGATTCAATAGTTTTCTGCAGTACCTGTTCATCAACAAATATTATATAATTTCTATTTAATGCAATATTTGTACTACAAACCTTTATTAATGCTGTATCTCATTATTTCTGTATCTCTAATTTTGTTCATTTTACAGCTATCTGATAATTTGGCTCAGCGGCTGAAAGGCCAACTTGAAGGTAACTTTTCATGGAATTCTTCATTGTGTTGAAATAATTGACATAAAAAGTTTACTTAGGTGGAATATGGTATAAGATATTGTGCCCAATTTGCTACAATAAAACATTATTAGATAGATATTAAGGGCGATAATAAAATTAAACTTGAATACATTTGATAGTTACCAGTGCAAAAAACATTTGTGCACAGAATGCCTAAACAATGAATATTGCTTCTACAGATGCTCAGCAGCAGCCTCCATCTCCCCCACCGCGTGCCGCATTTGTACCAACTCCCTCCCCTACACCGCCACCACCACCACCACCCATTTCAGACTCCACCCATGCCACTGCTGCACCCTGGGATGAAGGACGTGGTGACATTTGGACTGGTTTGTACGCTGAAGAAGGGCGCCGAGCGTTGCTCAGGCTCCAAGAAGAGCAAAATCAAGCCATCGCGGCCGTGCATCAACAATGGCAACAAAAAATGCAAGCAAGAGAGCAGGAGGTAACTTTTCAGAAGATTGCTGCTCCATGTTCTAAAAGATTGAGGAAATATTAGAACGTTACTGTCCATGATATTTAAACACTAAACGCATTCTGTCACCACTTTGTGCAACCCCATAATATACTAAATCCAGTTTCATAAAAAGCTAACTTTTTGGCTGGAACCTTCTCCACTTTCAACCTTCTGATTTGTATTTCAAATTATGATACAATAAATATTAATTTAAATAACATCAAATTATGAGGAATAATCGAATATAAACTAATGATAAATATGTGCAGTGGGTGGAGACCTCTAAATTAAGCGCTGCTGAGCTGCAGAAAACGGCGGAAGAAGTAGAGGCAGGGTTTGTGAAGAGCACCGTAACGCCCGTGTGCCAGGACTGTAAGAGTGCTGTGCTTGCCTGCTACCAAGAGCACCCAAAACAAACTCTTCTTTGTGCAGATTCCGTAGAAAAGTTCACCAGATGTGTGGATCTCACAAGGCTTGTAAGTGGATCCAAATGATGATCTCTTGACACCTATGACTTGTCTACTAGCTCTATTCCACCTTGATATATTTCGTATTCTACAATTTATTGCATGAACTACGGCATATGCAATTGTATAAACTAAGTATAGTTTCTTGAATAACATTTTTTTAGATAGCTTTCATCACATGTTGGTATATTGTGCAGCAAAGCGTGATGCAACAAGACGCGCGTCAACGGGGTTAATGTGACCATTCAGCCTCGGCCAGCACCATACAACCGGTGGTGGCTCTCATACTGTATATTGTAATAAAATTATTCGGATGAATTATACACACTTGTCTCATGATTCTTTATATTGTAAGTAACAGCATTCTTTGTACACCTGAATCTCCATTTTAGAGATACTCTCTATCCTTGGGAGGTTTGGGCGGGGCCCAGACGTCATGCCTGAAAAGAAAATTGAACTGTCAGTAAGAAGTGTTAGAACTGTTTTTGCAATACTGAGGTAGACTTTGTAAAGTTTTTTGTAATTGAACATATTTTAATGACCTGGCTCTGAAATTTGAACTCATCTGAACAACTCACTTAGGAAACCATCTATGTTTCGTGGTGAAAGTAAGCTTCTGCAACTTTTGATTGACGTAGTATGGATGCTGACGCTTGAACAATTCCTTGACTTCAGAGTTATATTGCACATTGAGAACAGTGTCCGTCTCAGGAACATCTGGGAGGGGCTGGAAACCATAATCGTATTAGTAATATTACACATTACACGCTCAGACTGTTTTCTGTACATCAAACTTCATTCAAACCACAAAAGGACTACTCCAACCCTTAACCACAAATGCGGGTAAGTGTAATGAAAATGGATAAAAGAAAAATCTCACCCGTGTACAGCTGTAAGGAATGACTGGTTGCGGATGCCAACATACGAACATTTCACCATCATTGCTGAGGATCACTGCCTCTTCGCGGCCAGGCTCAGTCTGCGGTATCCCGCTCTCGTATGAAGATCCGCCTGCATGCCTCGCGTAGTAGCGCCTTCCTATAACTGGAGTGTACAATTATAGTCAATATTGTTTAGTAATCATTTGCAACACACTTGAATGACTTGTGAGAAAATATTTCAAGTCAAACTGCAAATCTCGCATTTAAAAAATGATGAAAGAATTCGTTTTTCGCCTTCAACTCTGAGAAATAAATTGAATTAGAGTTCACTGCTTACCTGATATCAATCTTGTCAAAGAGATTAGCTTTGTTGGTGGCCAGGAAATCATTTTAACAATCGCGATACTTGAATTAAGCCTTGCTAAAGAAAATGACTCTTCAAAGCATTGAGAGAAATTTTAAAATTGGCTTAAGATCTAACAGGAAGTCTTAAACATTTAATTAATGGCAAGCACGTTAGTGATTCTGTAGCAACTGTCTGACTTGTATGATTCTCACAACAAACACGAGGGTCTGAGCGCAAACGTTTCCTTGGACAATTAAGGGATACTTTTTTTTTCACTATCATGGCATAAAATTTGTCAGTAAAGCCAATCAATTTCTCTACATTTAACCCTCACTAGTTACCATTCATGGTCAAATAAAATCTCCCAAAAACACCCACACACGTCTCCAGGTTTGTGTTAGAGGCTACGTATTTAGCCCTATGCCAATCGCTAATTACCTGACTACCGTTCCATACACAGCATCAAATTAAATATGAGCATTTGAATGAAAGTTTAGACAGTGAAATTGACGCCCTTTCTGCCGTTTTTTAAAACGCATTAATAGTGATAATAACTCAATTATTTAAGATAGATTGATTGAATTGAATTAAATTCAAGTTAACGTATATTCTTACTCTTTACATTTGTATGCCCAAAGTTGAACATGAGAAAATTTAGAGTAATGACCGCATTTATGAATTCCTCAAGTAAAATTTACTCGTCCATTATGATAAATTTTGAAAAATGAAGGAAATTAAATATATCATACAGTAGTTTCCGCGGTAAAGGGAGGGAGAGGAATATCCCTTGGTACAAGATGCTTGTACTGCTGCCCTTACATGATGGTAAAATAATCGCTTGGATTAATTGTTTATATTTGATGCGCTAAAAAAATAGCAAGCCCCGTATCACCAATTCGCAGCGAACTCAACCTCTTCTAAACAAATTTATCTCATTAATTTGTATGGAAGAGGAATTTTGTATATACAACTTGTATATTCTTTCTTCTACTTAACCTAAAAGATTATAAAAATGAAGTTAAATTACAAACGATTGAATTATAAAATATTTAACACCGACTAACACTGATTTACATTAAACAACAGCTAGTGGAAGGCACTACCATCGTTCAAGTTGACTAGTAGTGCTTAACTGTTGTCACACTGCTTAATGTTACAACGTTTTAATCCTAATGAGTATTGATAATTGTACCTATGCAATCTGACACGGGTTGAAAATTATGGATTCCAAAAAACACGCGTCCTCTCATTAAGGCACTATTTCTGAAATTCTACAATTACAGCAGCAGGCTCTCTTAACACAGACAATTGGACGATCTCGGGCAGGAGGACCGAGATATTATGTTAGTAAAACACTAGCCCCTGAAACTACAACGGAAAGTGAGGCGACTATGGCAGTGGTAAATTATAGCAGTGGATCACAAATTCCACGATTCCGAACAACGACTTCACTAAACAAGAGACGATCTCGTCTCAGGAGGCAGCTAACAACTATAAGAAACACATAAATGATATTTAAATTAAATGACTTCAAATTCGACATTTCAAAATTACGTACATTGAATCAACGTAGAGAGGTTTCAGTCATCCGCTTTTACAAGATGAAACTAAAAATTCATGGAGAAAAACTTTAATGGCTATTTAGGCTTAGAAACAACTCTCGTTGTTTGAAACTGATGATTTTAGAATCGTTCGAAGGCTTCGTAGAACAATTCCAAGAGAAATAATATTGTTGAAGTTTAAACACTAGGTATGGGGAGACACTAGGTAAGGCCAATTTAGAAACATGTGTCAGATTAAACTAAATCAGCAGAATAAAAAACGAACAAATGCATACGCTCCAACGTTTACCATCAATAAACAAATGTTTTATTCGTAATTTATGGAATTAAGCTTCACTATATAATAAAATCAGAGTGTTAGGTAATCACATTGCAGAAAGTTCAACAAAGGGTTTGATACCAGGCCCCGCATGATTTACAAACTAAATGACTATACTGATACTTAGAATCATAGTGCCTTTTAGCATTAAGGCATTGTTAATATTCTAACCTTAGATAAATGACAGAATAGGATTTTATCCTATCCTAACCGCTTAGAATAGGATAATAAATTTCTAGATATTTCTACCTCAGGAGACTTCAGTAAAGCTTTTTAGCTCAAGACGACTCAAATGCAGTTAATGATATGATCGAATTTAGCGTTATCGATGTCACTCAGCCGACATACAGAATAGAAGTGTCGGCGTTGAAGAAATAGGCCCACGGCCTGTTGCCGATTCTTGAACTTTTCGTGACTTGATTCACAAGGGATCCGGCCTTTGGAACCCGATCTTCCATAACTGACGATTGAGATAGCTGCTGGACTTGATGCCTGGTCCGTACACACGCTAAGAGCGGACGATCTTTCAGAGACCATGAGTCAGAGCACAGATGACGTGGGCAGCGTGGGAGCATAGATGTACCCAAAGTCCTGAAACCTCGTCCGCAAGCAAATGATCGTCATCAGTACGAAGACTATCACAGTTCGTAGGGCTTTTATTCTTAGGATCATTGAATGGATTAGCAATGGCACTGAAGAAGTGGTCAATACTGTTCAAATTTCGCAGTTGCCGAGATTTGCGGCATGGCATCAAAGAATTATTTGGCTTCCTATATCTTGCTTCAGAGAATGAAGCTTTATCACATCGCAGAATGGAACACGTTTTGTAAGGAACAAGGAGTGACGGAAGTGACAAGCACACTTGACACACAATGCATTTGCTGCCTACAAGATCTAGAATAACGCCGTAAGTTGGCACCAGAACTCTACACTGGCGTCTACAAGAGACATATATTGGGCGCTTGAGCTTCAAGCTCAATGCAGCTGAGCACGAAAGCTCTGTTCCATTCTTAGGGGTGTTTTCGGGAACAAGTTCCGTCTGCACATTCTCGGTGATTGGCATGGCCGACATTGTTCCAGCAACTCTGGAATTCATTTGAAAATTGAGCTCGCACTCATGATCAGTTAGAGAAATATTCCCACAAACTTTGGGTTTATGCAAACGGACAGGAGAGTTTCCAAAACCGATTTCGCAGGGAGCAGACTTGATCTCCTCTACTATGCCGAGTGTAGATTGTTCGAAGGTCTCATTGACGGCAGACGCCGGAGGATCCGAATTCGCTAGCCATTCATCTCGGGCGCATCGGAGGATACGACGTTTTTCCTGGAAAATGGACAAATAACTACAAAATAATTCATCTCGGATTCTGAGTGATATAAGATGCAAAAAACTGAGCATTGAGGAAAATTTAAGGAAATACATCGGGAGCAAACAGATAGCATAAAGAAAAAAAATCCATGAAAATACTAATTTCTCTAACCTCCACTAAAACATCTACGATAGATGGATACTTTGACTACAAAATTTGAGTTTTGTTAGTTAATGGAGTGGCAAACTCTGGAGAAACAATTCAAAACTTCAATCCCACTTAACACATGACAAATGTTGAACGGAACTCGCTCATTTTCGCCTGATAGGCTTTTCTACCTCATTTGACAACCGCACTAATTCTATTCGCTTGACCGATCACTTCGTCCGATGAAAATAGTTAATATTTTTTCATTCAAAGGCGAGACGTTCGATGGTCGGCAAGAGTGATTTGTCCATTTAATGCACACATATGTTTCAATCAATTTAGCTGGAATCAGTCAGACCTTCGGTCAGGTCTTGTTTATATTTCTCCGGTATTGTGTTGAATCAGTAAATAACTAATGTGCTGTCAGAGTGCGGGATTTAAGTAGAGTACATTATTGGAATCCCGTCTACAGACAACGTTTATCTTCAACGATTAAGAGTATTAAAATAGCTTGCTCGTAAACCCATTAAATATTAAACAATACTAAATATCGTACTTTTACAACTCTTTCTATTTGTTTATACTCTTCTCTTAAAACCACCTCAAAACGTTACTCTGAGGAACTCGACCGCTTTGAAGGAAACAGCTCTACCACAGCGAATAAATCGAGTGAACAATAATGTGTTTATGTTGTCACGTTAACGATTTACAAGTATATAACGAACACGATAAATATGAAGAACATCTAATTCAAGAACACTGACAGGAATCCGCTTAGTAAGATTGCATAAGACGAGGATATGCAGTATGAAGATCAAAAAGACAACACATTAAAAATCTTTGAGACAATCTTTGTAATCAGTACGTCTTAAGAAATCGAAGCTTCAATGATAAGAAAATATGGAGTGAATCCCGTAATAAATATCCCGTGGCATGCCCTTTAATAAGGAATGAGTAGAAAAGCTGGGAAAAGTCGTAGCACCAAAAGGTTGGTTACGCAAGTGGTGTACCGGCAGTGGCAGGGAGTACGTGGGGGTGCTGCGGACGGCAGCGAGCCATGAGCGCCGCAGCGTTGCGGTGACGGCGTCGGCGTTGTCAGCCACGACCAGCGCGCGGTACACTCTTCACACCAACACGCAGGCCATCGATACACAACGCCGGCCAAACAAAATATAAAATCACTCGAGAAAAAATAAAAATTATAACTAAAAAATAAAATTTTCATTGAGTCTGAAGAAATTATGCGTTAACGCGATGTAGGAAAAAAAAGAGAAGAAAGTAAATTTCAAACGGAAAAAGAGTGTGTATTTTAAATGTGAAAATAATACGATTCTTACATGGAAAAATTCAACAAAAAAAAAGGTTCAGGGGTATTCTACACTTATGCAATAACTGCTGAAATTATCTTGCAGTTAGGCCACACGATGACAAGTAACGTGACATCGATTGTGAACGAGAATACAATAAGAAAATTTTCTGAAAAATTATATCATAATGACAAGAAATAATTATATAAAGCATAAAATAAAGCCACAGTCCTAAAAAATCAGGCTCGTGACTCAAAAATGGCATGCGTGCGACGTGTCGTTGATGCTCAGCAACACAGCCTGCAACATGAATCGTGTCGCGTGTTAGCTGCAACGCCATAACAACCTAACAGTTCTCACCACACAACCTATAGAGGTGGTAACAGGAGCCATCACGTCCACTATGGAACTGACTTATGATTTCTTTTACCGTCAATCTCACTTTCATTACCATGAGAAACTATCAGAAACGCATAAGACGTGAATACCTGAAATCTCGATTGGATAAAAGACTGTGATTGTAAAGTTGCAAGGCTTCAATTTCCAATTATGACTTGTATTATATACTTGTAAGAAAATGATGTGAACATTTTATATTCAGCATAATGACAAAGGATTAGATAATATTAAATATTATACTGACCGGGGAGGTATAACTCCAGGCAGGATACAGACGTTTGCGACCGCGGCCTGCAGCATCTGCAGCGTCAGGGATCCTCCACACAGTCCTACAGCCGCAGCCGTGCACAGCAGCCATATTTCTGGTAACTGCAGCACATCTCCTGCATAAAAGTATTGCTTTTAATGAGATAATGAGATAATAGATAATGAGATAATAGATAATGAGATAAAAGATAATAGATAAAAGATAATGAGACAATAGATAATGAGATAATAGATAAGAGATAATAGATAATGAGATAATAGATAATGAGATAATAGATAATGAGATAATAGATAATGAGATAATAGATAATGAGATAATAGATAATGAGATAATAGATAATGAGATAAAAGATAATGAGATAATAGATAATAATGAGATAATAGATAATGAGATAATAGCCTAATAATAGTAGTTATGAGATAATAGATAATAATAGCCTCGTAGTAACACCGGTAAGATATAGGGATTGATTCACCAGATTAGAAATTTGAGTAAGTTATTGCAGGACGAAATGAAAACTGCTGATTGTTCTTAAATTTAATGGTTTGCACTATTTCAAGTTGAAATTTAATATATCAAGAGAGAAGCGTAAAGTAGCGTGAAACAATGTGTGTTATTATTCTGATGACGGTAAAAGGGTATAGGTACTCACCATCATCATAGACATCACTAGCGTTATCTTGAGCATCACCGGCGTTAACAGACTTGATATCTTTAACAAGACGACACTGGTAGCATCGTAGCTGGTGAGGCGATACTTCATCGCAGAGATTTGCAAGAGCTGAAATCAGCACTGAAACTTGCGGCGGCTGAAGATTTTGTAATAAAAGCTTGATGATGCGATGCGAGCAGCTCTGGAGAGCGTAATTAACATAGTCCTCCAAGCAACTTACATCGTGCATGGCTGTCACCAAGAAGCAGCCTTGCCAGTATCCAGCAGCATAGCACAATTCATACACTACCACAGGGTCATATAATGGACCCGTTAGTATACCATAAAGCAATTCCAACATTGATTGCTTTGGGAGCACCATTGGAAGCAAAGCACCACAATCACAGGAGCGAAATTCATGTTGGGTATTCTCCAGAATGCACTGAATGATGTCATACTGCAGCTCTCGGCAGCTGCTCCACAGCTCAACATAAAAAAATTGAGCGACACCCAATTGATTCATTTTAGTGAGATAAAGACACAGCATGTCTAGTGGCATGGGGCTTTTCTGTTTTGAGGGCAAAGTACGGTTGTCGGAGAGGAATTTTTCATGAGGCAAATAACTTACAAGCAATAAGAGAACTTCAAAAATAGTTGAACGATGGCAAAAGCCGACAGCAGTCTTGACAAGCTCTTGTGCACCTCCTCGGTCGAGTGCTCGTCTCATTACTGACAAGCGTTGGCATCTATTGAAGTCCAGGTTAGGTAAGATTTCTATGATGGGTGATTGAGACGTCAAATCAGAAGGAGAATCACAAGCGATGTGATGCAGAATAACCCGCCAAGTATTCAAGAAAGTATAGAAGTTTGGCAGAGGAAAGTTATTAATTACAACCTCATAATCAATGAAAATAGCGCCTGCTGTGAATAATAAAGCATAAAATTGGTCAGTCTGGCCGGCCAAATCAGAAGACAAAGAATGACATTCAATAACAGTAGACTTTTCTGGATTAAGCTTATTCTTTTGGAGTGTAAAATCCAGTCTAATTTTATACTTTAAGCAAAGGACAAGCATATTTGATACGTTAACTTTCAAGATACCAAAATTATTGGTTTTATTTGGCGAAAAACTATCTTGCACACATTTTTCCCTTAAAGCTAAATTACATAAATCTGTTTCATTAGAATTTAAAAATCCAAGTATTTTCAGAGTTCCTAAAAATTCACAGAGCCAATTAGAAAGAGATTTAATCATTAAATACTGCTTGGACAATTCCTTAGTTTCTCTCAGTGAATCCATTGTTATTTTCAAAAGCTCAGAAGAAACTTTTTTCAAAGAGTCATCCTTCAATGCAGCGACGTTTGGTTGAACAGTAGGTTCTCTGTCCAGCAACTTTTCTTTCAGTGGAAGAGTATTAGTGTGGCACGACTTTTCTTTACTGTATACAGCTTTGTGCTTTCTTTTACCGTGACTGACACTGCGCACAACAATCAAGTCATCATCACTGAAACTTGCATGTTTTTCTTCGCATGAATTTGGTGTTCCGTTACTGGCGTCAGATGCTGACTGTGAACAACTTGTAGGCATGGGAGTGGAAAGCAAATTTTCTCCTGTGGCGTCATCATTCGGCCAAAACTCGTCAATGGAAGGTGAAGTATGACTTAAGTTATTAGTTGCAAGAGGCTCAGTGTCTGAGTTTACATGAAATGAAGGAAAATCTGTTAGATTATTGGCAACAGAATCATACGAACGTTTTGCAACTGCGGTGACTCTGGAAGAAAAAGCTGAGAGTAAATCAGATGAAGAGACATTGAAAGCAACACTCTCAACCAAGTCCTGAAGCACACTGTTGCCAGAGAGGAGATTAGTTGAAGGTGAAGCGATGTATCCGCCTCGGACACCCAACACAGGTCGGGGACGAAGCAGCGGCAGTATGGAGTTGACATCACTGGGACGGTAGATGGGACTGTTACTGATTGGTCGATCATCCTGATTATTTAGACAATTGAAACGTGATTTCTCGAGCAAACTCTGATTTTGAACAAGGTTCTCACTTTCAGCATGTGAATTTATCGAGTTTACTGGAACTTGAATGAAGCGGGCGCAGGTTTTGAAATCATCACTAATTGAGGAACATTGAATGATTTGTTCCAGTTTGCACCGGTCATCATCATTAATTTCTAATGAGCCAGCTAAAAGATCCCGAATTATGATATTACGTACTCTGCAGAGAACTGCTGAGCACTCAAACAGGTTCAGATGCTGCAGTGATAGGTGCATACAACTCTGCAGATGTTGCATTGAGTGCAGTGTCATGATAGCAACCTCAGGACTCATAATAGTTAGTTTCGTGAATGTTCCATTACACAAGAATAAGATATTGTTGCGCCTTATTTTTACTTCTCCATCTGGGTGAACATTTAAAAAGAAAATAATTGAGCAACATGATGGATCAAAGCAGTATATTCCCAAAGAACAAACCAACAGCAAATATTTGCTTTGAAAGCGTGAAATCTGGCTGAAAGCAATAGACGACAAAAATGGGGAGCTTCTGCCTGAATTTGATGATGAAAATGTCTCAGAGTCCCAAGATGTTTCAACAGCATGATGATTTGTCCTATCACCGCCATCACATGGAAGCAAATTAGAAGCTCTGATTTGTTCAAAGAGAAAACTGCTATCATTTGAATCACTCGTGATCTGTCCATCAACTTCCGTATCATAAATAGGCAAGGATGGCACAGCCAACACATCTAGAAGTTGATGCGTCTGCAGAACACAACCACTTGAATCAGACTCCCACACCCGGGCTTTCGGGCGCCCAGTGAAACAACGGACTTCTTCTTGACATGCCTTAAGTAAGTTAGTATCACTGTTGGGACAGGCAGCTAAAGTTACTGTAGAGCCATCTTCGTCTCTAACAGGAAGGCAAGATCCATTAGTTCTAGATGACGAGTTTGATAAACCCGAAAGCTTTCGAGTTACCTGACCACAGTAAAATGACTCAACATTTTGAATGTATTCATTATCAAAACATTGAAGAGCAGCCAGGTTGTCAGTGCTGTGCTCACCACCCATCACGTGACGTAATTTGATGTCTTCATTTGGCGCCGTACCGGTAGGGACGCTCTTTAAATTTTGATTAGCCAAGTCACTAGTCTTTATGCACGGCCAAACCAACAAGAGACAACCTCCAAATTTTCCGGCTTTATTTTTATCCCCAATTCTGGTGAAGCATTCTCTCTTTGTGTCACATATATAAGATCCAGATAATGTTGACACGAGAAGCTTGTCATCGAGGAAATCCAATTGAGTTATTCTTGAAGACAGTTTCAAAAGCCTTGTGCTCAAATTTTTGAAAAGAGCAGCAACCTGAAATGAACGACAACGAAATAATGCTTAATTTTGCTTATATAACAGGGGTAAAAGAGATACCCGTATCATTATGTAAAAATTATAGAGAACAATAGAGCTTCACTACGATATTCAAATAGGGATATGATACATATAACCATCATACAGCTTTTGAAAGAAATGATGTAGCGAACATTCACTCCATCAATGCTGATCAAATGGGCCAGCACAGCCATTAAATATAATTTTTTACTAAATGAAATTACTTTTTAACCATAGTAGAATAACTTAGGGATATATAACTATGCTAACCTTTGTTTTAGGGATGTTCACTGAAGTCACAAGACCAGTATCATCTCCCAGAAACACACATGATGAACCTTTTTGTTCTTCACCAACAGTGCATTGCCACACAATACTCGTAATTCTCTCACCTCGGTGGTCTTGCACTTGACACAAAACTTCTCCTGATTTTGCCTGTGATTTGGTGCAACAAACTGTTATGCTAACTTTCATGGAAAAGCTCAATACTGTGTTTTTGAATGCAAAACTTTTCTTGAAATCTAATTATTTAAACTAGAGCTGCAAGAACAGTTCTGAGAGAATAAATTCACATATGGAAAGCTTTATGGAGAATAAGCAATACTCTAAAAAACATTTCTGGCAAACAATGCTTATATCATTAAAACCAATAGTTTAATAAAAAGAACAAATTTAGAGAGTAGAATAGAATAATAATAAGGAAATAAATTTAGTAATAAAAAATAAATTTAGAAAGAGTATTATCATCATTTATTTCTCATCATGTCAGAGTGATGCCTCTCTGGGTTCAGGACACTCACCTTAATAATTGTGACAATCCCGCTACTAGCAGCACACAAGATGAGCTGTTCATCTGGAGATATGGACACATGGCTGAGCTGGGAGCCACCAGTAAACTGCTCACAAATAACAAAACATGAGTAAATCAACCAACTATAAAAGCATGTTCAAAAATTTTCAATTATATACTGGTTGGTCAATCTAAATGATTTTAGCATATCAAATTTTGAAATCGACTGTTAGCTATTCTCAATGTGAGAAAATCATCACAAGAAAAATAAATACAGTAGATTTACAAAATTTTTCGACCCACCTGGATTGAAATTTGCTTTAGGAGTGACAGAGAAATGGGATGAAGAAGAGACAAGGTATGAGTTTCATCATACACAACAGTGAATGCACTGCAACAGTCACAGCAGAGTACCTGAAATATAAATCATTTATGAGTAGTTATCAAAACAAAAACTTAATTTGAATAGAGATACATCACAAGCTAACACTGATTCATCAGCAAGTAACAACTAAGACATTTGAATTGTACTTGATCAGAATAATTTGGACTATAGATCAGATGTATTTTTATAGCATAGCACATACTACTATAAACAATCTTTCAGTGTAGGTAGGTCTTGCTGTAGCAAGGTTACACATTTCAGGACCCTTATAATATAAATGAAAAGAATAATATGACTTTGTAGCAATAACTGCCAAATTGAGACAAAAATTAATTTTAAAGATGATACAGCAATAAAGGTAAATTCCAGAAATATGGGCAAACAAGAACAAAGGGCAAAAATCATTGCCATGTTTAAACTTTCTACACTGTGCATTGATCACAAATATGACTGGAGCTCTCAAATTAGCAGAAAGTTTTGAATGATATTTAATGCCTCAGAGAACTGCAATAAAAATATTACAGGGAACATTGGTGTAATATATTGGTGGGAAATAAAAATTAGTCACTTGTGTTTTGTTTTTGTTAAATTATGTATGTAAATTTTTTAATTTTGTTTCAATGTTCGATTCTGAAGTTTAAAATAATACATAAAATTTATCTATTATCTATTACACACAAAATTTATCTATTACTATACACAAAATTTATCTATTCCTCCAGTGTTCTTCATATCTCAAGGCTGCTTACAGCCCAGCAAATAACTAATTGTGGTCTACCCATAGATACTGGCACTTAGGCTTGTGAAATTTTACAAGCCTGATAATTTTACAAGAAGTTCTTAGCTTAAAATCTATAGTATTCACAGGTGAATATTCATCATTCATCATTTATCTGGATAATGAGTTAAATATTGATGATATATACAACCCATACTAGCACTTTTCACTTACACTCACCTTGGCAGGCTTGGTTGGGCTTGATGGCCCATTAATTTCTTTCTTCAATACAGAAAAAAACATAATAATAATAATAATAATAACAAGTTTTAAAACTTTGAAACAAGTTTTGAAACATTTAATTTAGAAGCACTTTTTATACAAAATGATAAAAAATTTAAACAAACTCTGGTTAGAGCACAATATATTAGCATATAGGTAAACATTTTGTTTGAAATTGCATAAAAACAAATTAATAGTCCAATTTCTTACAGGCATATTTAAGCACTTGTCAGCAACTGAAATCAAGAAGTTTCATTTGCAATCAATTTGGAAGTGCATCAATATCATAGCACAACACCAAAACTTGTGCAATTGCCATTAAGGTTCTTCATGTTAACAGCTATAAGTGTCTTAAGAACATGTCCATGGCACTCAACAGAGCACATTTTTGTGATTGATAAAGAAGTATTGGATTATATAAAAAACACATTTCAGCCTTAGTACAGCTAAACTTCAATTACAGCTCCTGAAATAGCTTGCCATCACTCCAGCACACTGGTTAGCGCATCTGTATGGCCAGTGCTGGCAGCATCAAGATGGGTTTGAGCCTTGGCAAGTTCATTTCATTCCTTGGTGTCACTGGAGGACAGCACTTGCTAACTGCTAAATGGTGGTGCACGCAGCTTGGCCTTGGGTTGTTTCCCCAAAACAAACTCTGGGACTTGTTAAATGGTGGGATCGTAAGGTCTGTCTCCACAATTTGATTCTCTGTCACCCAACCCTGGTGCCCTGAGCAATGGACATGCATGAGACACAAAATATTGTCTGTGTTATCATAGGCTGTTTACCATGATGAATTGTACTATTAGATAAAGGCAGGCAGTAATAATACCTTTAATCCTGAAAACTCTTTATACAGATCAATGAAGAGCATAATATAATGGATGCAATAAGGGACAGTGTCCACCACAGTCTACATCAGAAGCCAGACATTACCAAAAGCAGTCAAATTGAATTGAGCCAGGTGCAGGTTTGCACCACAGCACCAGCATGACCAAGTTGCAATCAAGATACAATATATTCAATCAGCATTTTAGTGACCTATAATCACTTGCCTCTATTGAACTGTTCCAAAACCCAGCCCAATAGTGCCCTTTCCAAAGGATTGTATTCCCTCTGCCCTAAATTAGAACGTTCATACATAGGACTGAAATCTCACAGCTCCAAAGTGACCAATTTTCAATAAATATTGAATCTTGTGGCCCCATTGTGCAGTTTCATTAACAAATATATAAGCAGTAATTTGTCTAGCAGGAAAATTATGTCAGTCTACCAGTTTTTCAGTTGGCAAACTGATATTATTTTATGAACTGATATACCGTCAACCGGGGCTACACGGGACGGTTTTGAGCGTTTTTTGTTAATAACTTCTTACCATGAAACATTTCATAAACAAGTTTAGGCTCATTTTATAGCTCTTTGAGAGGGCTATCAAATAGCATCTTCAAAAAAATTCCATATGCTATTTGTAAGGTGCCAGAAGCAAAAAAAGAGTGTCCCGAGGAGTAGCCCCGTCAAACGGGGCTACTCGAAACACTTGGAATAAAACTTCATTTTAAAATATTTGAAGCATGCAGAGTGTACTCATCCATTACTAACAGTACTCTGAAGTCCTCCTCTTATGTTTTAGATGATGTAGAGGTAGAATAAATGACATTTTCTGTGATTTTTACTAGTTTTTCTTTTATTGATATGATATTATCATAAACATTAATTACCGTCAACCGGGGCTACTCGGGACTGGCGGGGCTACTCGGGACAGTCCTCCGACACGGCGTAAACTGTTATAGTAGCAAAACTAATTGGAATATTGCAAAACTAAATATAGTGGCGTAAACATCAACATTTTTCCTATCTATGTAGTATAAAGGAAGTTGAAAAATACTACATTTACTAGCTTTGAAAAATTCCTGAAAAAAATGGCGAAAAACGCTATTTTGAAAAGTTACTTCTGCTAAGGTCTGTAGCCAAAAAAAATATTTGCCGTATTAAAAAATTTTACTTACATAAAAGATGCACCTAGGTGTCAGCTTGAAAACGTGATTGACGGAATTGTCCTATCTCATTCAAAAAAAAAAAAATGGAGGTCATTTCTGCACGGCATGGCTACTCAGGACACCCCCCCGGGGCTATTCGGGACACCCCCAAAAACGCATTTACAGTAGAACCTCAGTAAGCAAAGGGTCCAGTTAAGAAAAAAATGGATTATAAACAAAGAATATTGATTACATTTACCTTGCTTGGCGAAAAAAATTTGACTTATCGAAAAATTAGTGCATCATTGGTCGTCACAAAATTGTACATAGAATGCTATATATATAATTTTGCACCGGGCATCATAAAATGAAAAGTAATTGACCTAAACTATGATTTATTTCTCCAAAATACATGATGGTTGTCACTAAAACATTCCTTTCTGTTTCAGGTATGTTTTTCGCGATCTTTTTATAGTAAATTCACTTAACCCAATTAAAATGGCACATAAACGAGCACATGGGACATAAACGCGCACTATTGTGCTTGCCTTGTCCATCTGTCTGTCTGTCCGTTCGTCTGTGACCTCAAGTTTTTGTCGACGAGAAAATGCGCGCTCTGTCACTCACTTCAGTGAGTACTGAGTTATATTTTTTATAGTAAATTCACTCAACCCAATTAAAATGGGGTGAAATGACTAGCTGTCCTGTAAGCTTACAGATACAGAAAAAATGCTATAAGGCTGCTGATATGAAGCTTGCAGGGGACAAGGTTATTGTAAATGCTCAATGGCATGTTCATGGATATGGTAATATCACATCAATAATACAGTAATATCACATCAATAATACAGTACCGTCAACTGGGGTGACTTCTACTGTGTTTTTGATTTTGTTTTGCAAACAAAAGCGGGGTCATAAACGATGGCCAAAGTCACTCTGGCATTTATGACCTTGTTCACGACCCTGGCGTTTATGACCCCGTTTTTGTTTGCAAAACAAAATCAAAAGCAGGGCCAAAGTCACCCCAGTTGATAGTAATTAATGTTTATGGTAATATCATCAATAAAGGAAAAACAAATAAAAATCACAGAAAATGTCATTTATTCTACCTCTACATCATCTACAATGAGAGAGGAGGACTTCAGAGTACTGTTAGTAATGGATGAGTACACTCTGCATGCTTCAAATATTTTAAAATGAAGTTTAGCCCCAAGTTTAGTTTAGTTTAGTTTAGCCCCAAGTAGCCCCGCCCCGTTCGATGGGGCTACTCGGGACACTCTTTTTTTGCTTCTGGCACCTTACGAATAGCATATGGAATTTTTTTGAAGATGCCATGTGATAGCCCTTGCAAAGAGCTATAAAATGAGCCTAAACTTGTTGATGAAATGTTTCATGGTAAGAAGTTATTAACAAAAAACTCTCAAAACCGTCCCGAGTAGCCAGCCCAGTTGACGGTACCATCAACTGGGGTGACTTTGGCTGCGTTTTTAATTTTGTTTTGCAAACAAAAACAGGGTCATAAACGCCGGGGTCATAAACGCCAGGGTTGTAAACAAGGTCATAAACGCCAGAGTGAATTTGGCCATCGTTTATGACCCTGCTTTTGTTTGCAAAACAAAATCAAAAACGCAGCTGAAGTCACCTGGTGGCCAAAGTCACTCCAGTTGATGGTACCATATTATTGCTGGGATATTACTGTATTATTGATGTGATATTACCATATCCATGAACATGCCATTGAGCATTTACAACAACCTTGTCCACTGCAAGCTTCATATCAGCAGCCTTATAGCATTTTTTCTGTATCTGTAAGCTTGCAGGACGGCTTGTAATTTCACACCATTTTAATTGGGTTAAGTGAATTTACTATAAAAAAATATAACTCAGTACTCACTGCAGTGAGTGACAGAGAGAGCATTTTCTCGTTGATGAAAACTTGAGGTCATGGACAGACGGAGGGACAGACAGAAATGGCAAGCACAATAGTGCATTTTTTTCCATAAATGAGAAATGGCGCTAAAAAGATCATGAAAAACATACCTGAAACAGAAAGGAATGTTTTAGTGACAACCATCATATTGTTACCGGGAGGCCTCTACCATATTTTTCACCCAACCATCTGCTCTCTATATATGAATTATTTTTGAATTAATGTTTACTTATTTATTATTGTTGAATGTATGTTTTCTTTTTGTTCTTTTCAGCCTGTAAAGTGTAAACTAATTCCATTAATGGCTAATTGGTCAATTATTACGATAGTGATTGGAGAGCCATGCAAGTGAAGTTACTGATCCCTAAATTGTTGAGTCTCTAAGTAGAACTGCCACAAGTTGTTGGTGAGTTAGTTAGGTGTGATCTTTTAATTCCAAAGATGTTTTGTAAGTGTCCTAGAATTTTACTACCTCCTAATCTGATTAATTAGCTTTGTTTGTGCTTTACTTTTCATCTAATGTTTATTGAATTTCTTATATCAACTGTCTGCTTGCAATTTATTCTTAAATGCTTTGCTTTTGTGCATTTTATCTCAATAACGTCACAACTTTTACAAATTACTTGAACGGTTTTTCTTGGTTCTAGTTTTAGCTTATCTTTGCAAACATTTTACTGATTTCACTCCTAATATTATGTTTGTCTGTTTTGTTTTTCATATTTCTTGCTTGCTGCACGCAACCAGCTTGCCATCAATTAAGAATCTATTTTAAGTAATTATTGCATCAGTTTTAACATTTAATTTCTCTTCAGGCTTAGTATTATTATCTTGTTGGACAGGTTATTGATTTTTGTTCTCTTTATTTTTCAGTTCATCAATGATGGAATATGTGTAACCCTGTCCATGCTCCCTTCCCCTATCCCTAATCATTACTCCTGAATGCAGTTAAACTTATTCACTCATTACATTGTCACTGTATTTTTACTTCAATTTAAGAGAAAAGACACCAGTCTTTCATTCGCCTTTAACATACTAGCGAAGGGTTGTTGCCAAACCAAACTCAAAGTAGGTAACATGGTTACCTCAGCCGCAACGTGAGACATCTACCCGGCAACAATATGTTTTG